CTTTGTTTTTAACGAAAACTAAGATTACATCAACCTTTAAAAAAAATTCTCATATTTATTTCTGTTTATTTTTCTACTATTTTTTTATCATAAGCATCCATGTATTTTTTTTAGTTCCCATGTGTAAAGTTTCTTTTTTATCATTAAAATACTATTTCACCAGTATGAAAATTAAATTTTTTTACAAATAAATATTTTTTTTCGAATTATTTGTCTCAGTGTAGGAAATTCAGTATGAATTTAATATTTGAAATCAATGTATTAAAAAAACACTGAGTGCATCCTAATTGAATAAAAGTAGTCTGTATTACATGCGAAGAAATGTTCATCGAATATTTTCCTATTTAACACAGTTTATTTATAATCTTTATTACATTAATATTAACTGATAATTAAAACTATAATAAATAGTAATTGTGTCATAACTTGTTTTAAATTGGACAACATTTTGACATTCCACCTCATTTAAAGTAAGAAATTATTTTCGAATGGATTGAATTTATTGGAGACTAAAATACTCGTTTCTTTATTGTACGATCAGTCATTTCATGAGCAAATCGATACCGTTTCTAGTTTTAGTTTCAATAAAATAAATAAAATAACAGAAACCTATTTTTGAAATTTTTACTAAATTATGAATATATTGACATTGTACGCATCTCAATAGTGTTACGGTTGTTTTAATTAGTAAAATTGAGTAGATTATGGGGTAAAATTGTTATAATTTCACAAAAAATATCTTCACATACATTTGAATGAAATTCATGACATTTCAATACAATACGAATTTCGAAAAAAGATTGCAATTCAAGTTTTCTCAGACATCTTTTTGTAAAATATCAGTAACAATGGTTTTAGCCTCATAACAGGAACTCCTGTATATTTGGTCAGTTATAAATAAAACTTTGTTATCTGTTATAATATATTTACCAAAATTAAAACTGAATCAGTGTAAATTTTAGCATAAGTCTACGCGTTTACGTTGAAAGCACTCTTAAATGAACAAATTTTGTATATTTAGTTTCGATTTCTGTCTTATTGTTTGCAACATCGTAGAATCAGCAAACTTTGTGAGATAAAAGTGAATCGATTTCATTTCCATCATAAAATACTTGTTTTCGCTATACAAATATTTACTAAGATGACTGACTGTGTAGAATACAATAATTCTAAAGTAAAGGCACTTCTCAATATGACATAATTATGTGAATCCAGTGACCATGAGACAACTGTTTCATCAAAATAAAGAGCTAATCAGCATCAGTGTACAGTTCGGCCTCTGATTTCATGGATTCCAAAATCTTTAAGTTACTCAGTGAACAACGTAGCACTGAGCTGCAAAGCTTAAAAAACCAATCTTCACTAACTAGTTAAATCAGTTCATAATTTTTCAGGGGTGTTTAGGTAAGAAAAATCATTATTTTTGTAACTTATATATATCTCAACCAAACATATTTTAATGAAATCTGCTGTGGAGTCCCGCATCGAGACAAAAGTGTTTCTTGATGAGTGCTAGATATAAACTATAAAAGTTAAGTGCACAATAGTTTACATATAATTTTCAAATACCACGAACCTAAATCAGCTTAAACATTTAATACAACTGGAAATCTAAGCTGGGTAATTTTATTTTATTACTATCAGAACATTTTTACTAATTGGATTATTCATGTTAGTCGATAAATAAAATTTGTTCGCATGGTCAGTATAAAGTGTTGTTTTTTAAAACTGTAATCTATATCACTCATGACTTGTCAATGACAAGTACTGTTTAAATATTTGCATGTCACTTCATGCTAATTTATCTGCTAGTGAACATAAGTACTTATACAGTGACTTACTATATAATAATTTCATTAAGAGACAGGTAGCAATTAAAACACTGAACTTTTTCATGAAAAAAATACTTCAGACAATAATTAATTCCTTTTTTCATTGAGTTTTTTTTTTCTGAAGTCATACGTAAAATTTATATGGTTGTACTTCACTTTTTTGAACAAGAAATTATGCAAAAGATGGCATACAATAATGTTTGCCAGAAAAGTTACCTAGCAACTTATGGCGATAAAAATCCATAATTTTAATTTATCTCTGTCTTTATTGTTGCTCTATATTACTATTATTATGATTTCTACTGGTCTTGAAATTCAAAATGCAACTCATGTAGATTCTAAACTACAGAATTAATTCTTTGTGTAAAATTGCGATTACATTTCTATGTCCCTAAGATATTATTAGTAATTACAGAGGAAAATCAACATCAGAGTATTGTTGTTTAAATAGTAAAACCACGCCCAGTTTATCTTTTGTATATCAGTCCATGTGCTGGTAATATAATCTGAAAAATATTTTCGTTTCAATAGTCAATATTTAATAATATTTATTAATAGTACATACATAAATTTATTGCAGTAATGATATAAGGAACTAGCTGAATAATTTTAAACTACATATATCTATTCTATAATTGCTGTAATGTGTCTAAATATCATAATCGAATAGTTCGCATGTGTGGTATACTTCTCACAGTTTTTTAATTGCGTATATAATAATTTATCACTGATTGGTAATCAATATTAGGTTGTATCTCTCCTAATTCTGGTTAAAATCTGTTGATCACGTTGAACTGTAAGCATTACATTATATGACTCAACATTGTAATAGTCTATGCTTCATTCAAGGTGATTTGTTGGTTAAGAATAAAAACTTCTAAGCCTAGGTTTCATATTAGTTTGACAGTTGTCAAAAACTTATAATGGCAATGTTGACGGAAGAGATATTCTCTGGAAGATAAGAAACTACGTAACTCAGTGTGTTTGCAGAATGTTAGCGCTTTAAGGACAAGTTTAAATATTAAAAAAACTTTTGGAAACAAGTTTTATTTTACTGAAGTTTGATTTTTGATATCACTAAAACAAATCATAACACACCTTACTGAAAACTGATTTTTTAAAAATGATTTGGCTTAATAAACTCGTATATATTGATTGTTACTCTTTCAAACACTCATATGAGAAGCTACATATAACTGTGTTGAGTTTTATAATGACATGAATAAACAAAATACACTTAGATTTCATTTAATAATCGCCTGTGTGTTACTTGAAGTGCTAACTGGAAGTTGAAAAAATAAGTAGTGTATAAATAAAATAAGTACAAAAAACTATTCAACAAAGGCGTTCTGTCATGATCAGCTTAAAATTCGTATTTAATATTCGGTTTCTTTCTGTTTACAGTTCCATTTAATTTTATTCTGATCTGAATTCAAGTGAACTGTCTACACTGAATTAATGTCTGAATAGCATTCAGTAGTGTACTTTACATTTTTTGCCAGTATAAAAAGTAGGATATGCATATATTACTGAGAGAGCCAATATTTCTTGTGTTATTTACATCGTTTTATTGGGATGATGAATTACAAAGAGTACAAAGAATCTCAATGATAATATGATTAATCATTGTGTATATAGGGCATATTTATGTAAAAAATGTTGTAACTAAATTTAATGACTTATTATCAAACCTTTGAATTATAATGTCAGATCTATTTGCAACTAGTGAATATTTATTTGCTTTTGATAATTTTACAAATGTTTATGGTTGAATTTAACGAATAAACATGTTGCACAATATTTTTGATTTTTGGTTCATTAAAACAAACTCGTTTACTAACTGCATATGGTGTCATTAACTCAGTACAAAATTTTCTGTAGGTTATTAACAGAGCATTTGTAAAAAAACAATTCGAAGTTTATGAAAAGTTTTTGGGTTCTCAATATCATTCTAGTTAAAAAGTATGAGTAGTGCTAAAAAGACTATTCTATCTTAAAATCTCATAGTGTGAATGATGGAACGTAGGCTGTTAATTTCATTTCGATATGTTAGTCAGTTAATTTGTTAGAATAACCATCCTCTAATAACATTTACTTCACTTTCGACTGAATTGTTTGCGCCGATTATAGTCATACAATGGAATGATAAGATGACTTTCTGTAAACAAACAGATCACCAAACTGATTAATAAATAAGTATATGAGAAATGTTCTTAAGTTTAAATTACTGAATGATCTTAATCTAAACTATATTTTGAAGTGTTAAAAACGTCTAGGTGTCATTTTTTCAAGCTTGTTTTATTGTTATAAAATTCTAAAATATGCTGCAATTAGCTTATTGTGTTAGTCAATTCTGTGTGCTTTTATGTTGTCCTAGAAAATATTTCCAAACTATTACAAATCTGATAACTGTGTAAATCGAACAGTATTAAAGTGTATAATGAAGCGAAGACAGAATTAATATAGTATCTACAGTGGATAAAGCGAGTTGACGTTATCGGAGTAAGACTGGTCGGTAAAGTATACGGATAAATCAAAATGTCGTCGAACAACTGTTTAAAATCATTTTATACACATTTTGAGCATTTTTTACTAAGACTTGTGTTACAGTTTCAGTGTTCAATACTTCTTCAGTTTGTATCATTTTGATCAAATAGGTTATTTCAAACTATTAGCATATAAAGTAGTTACTGAAAAAAACAAAACAACAACTGAAGTAAGTGGTTTATATATTTGAAGCGATTCAGATCGCATTATCTGAATTAATCCTACGTTGTTTTGTTTTTTATTTCAAATAACACTAAAACAATGAGTTTATCAACATTTCATTGAACATATTGACAAGAATATATTCATTTTTATCATCAAAATAAAAAAACAACTGAAAACACGAATTATAAGAAAATGAGAAAGAAAATGAAAGAAACAAACAAACAAACAAATTTCATTTCTGTATTCAGTTAGTCTTTTATCTAGATGTTAATTTAGTGGACAAATCAATTCATATTTGATTGGGAAAAATAGACTTTACCAAATATATGTTGTACTCATAAAAAAAAGACAAACTAATACATACAAACACGTAGAATAAAATGTTTTTTCAATAAAAACAAATTTTTCTCATATTTGATTGATATTTTTGTTGTATTTCTTTGTTCTTCTTTCTAGATACAAAAAGACCTGAATATTTTCAACTTATCAATCAGAAAATTAACGATGGTATGTTTTATGTCATCATTTCTCATTTATATGTATATATACTTATGAGTTAATCAGCTAATGTGTTTATTGTGTGTGGACACAGTGTTTGTATTTGGCTTGTTCTTTATGCTTTCAGGGTTTCAGTCAACTCTGTAATAATAATTTGTTTGTTTCAGCTGTCAACAACAACAACAACATCACCACTATCAACAATAATAATAATAAGAAGAATTAAATCCTCTTTTAAGTGGTATGGTAAATTCGATATAAAAATAGAGTGATTAAGAAGATCTCGTTTTCTGTGTTGGTAATTATCAACTTAATCCTCTTATTTTATAAATAATATTCTAATTTACATTTAATTTTAGTTCATTTAAGATCATCGTGTAAAGTGGTTTGACAATTGTTCTATTTATCAGTTTTGTGTAAATTATAATAATTATTTTGATATTTATAAGAGACGCTAAAATACAAACTATTTTCTCCAATTTCGTATCAGTTGAACAACTGTAGTGTGACTTTATGAAGTTAAAAACAACTTGAGCGAGGTTTCATTCACTGAGAGTCAAAATGTGAACTATTTCTCTGTTGTAAACCGTGTAGTAAGTAGTCTGTGCTTATTATTATGAATTTCCACGAAGAAGGATAAGTATTATCGTGAGTTAGTCTATGCAAGAAAGAGTAATTCATTATGATGGAATATAGAAAATTGAATCGTCAAGTTAACTACTACTCATTTAGTAAATGAATCAGTGATTTCATTTAAGTGCCTAACTTACTGAAATTAACTGAGAATTATTTTCCATCAACAATTTCTAAAATGATGAGGGTATTGTGTAATTGCTTTGACGACTTGAATCTCTAGGTTTGACTGCTAAAGATAGAATTAGGTTTTCTTGAATCACTATGCAACTGATTAACTAATCGCATAAGTTTTCATAAGATTTTAATGAATGAAATAGATTTTGTGTATACATACATACAAAGGTAAATAGATAGCGAAGCAAAATTCCTGATCATTGTTCCGGTAAAGGTTGATCTAATCTGATTCAAGTTTCACATTTCAATAACATTCATGTAATCTAATTAAGTTCAATTTACTTGTCCTTTAAACTTTTATTCAGAAGACTTTGTTTTTACAATATCAAAAATTAGCTCGAATGTCAATATAGTTTTTTATTCACTGTACTGATACAATCATATATTTTTGATCCAATGTCGAAATATCATATTTTCACAAGTGGGCGGTTGAATTAAATAATCATTTAAAGAATTTGGAATGCTGAATTTATATAAATCAGTCAATTTTAATTTTGTTAGTATAATGAGAAAAAAGGGAGTTGATCTGGAAAATATCATGCAACTGAGAACTAATTTTCTTAAAATATGTTCCCTACAAACATACATTAAACCATTTATGTTTGGAAATTTTTGCAAAAAATTTAATACGAAGAGATTAATCGAGATATAAAAGGGAAAGAGTTGAAATTTTATAGAAAGAACTTATCACACCTTCCTTAGGATTAAGATAGATTACCGATTATAAGGGCGGTTCCGAAGTTAGAGCGAACTGAATTTTCGAAAGAATAAGGCCTATATAAACTTATTAGTGACAATTCTTGAGTTTCCTATATCCAGCCACCTAATATCATACACAGGTCACTTCATTTTTTCAGATTAGTTCTTGTTACGATTTTATTTACTTAATTATTACAAATATTTTGGAGTCTGATTGTAAAATGTGCGTTCAGAAAATTGAATGTTAATTCCTTACAGCTACATAATTTATAAGTTTCCATAGATCTGACCTTCAAGATGAAGTGAAGGGTATACGGTTGACCTACTAACAAAACCTTTTGGGAACAACCTCTCTAACAATCAAACTCGAGTTTCATATCTTTAACCTAGATATTCTAAGTTATTTGTATATAAATTTGAAGACTTTTTCGGCATTAATCATATTTTTACTAGCGACTAAGTTGAAGAGATAATCTTGGGATTCTAATGAAAAGTTATGAACAGTTGAGTTTACCTATGTCGGGTATGAGAAAATTAGTTATCACGCATTGTATGAAGTTAGACTTGCACATCACTGGGTTTCGGCTCAGTAGTTTAGAGGCTAAGCGTCCACGTCCTGAAGTTGATCCTTAGTGGTGAGGATAAGGAGGGTAAGACACCTTTCCCGATGATTTCTAGTTCCCTATGCTTGCATTATTTAGAACGGTTGATAATGTCAGTAATATAATAAATTTTTTATCAATCCATAATCTTTGATCAAAACTATCTCGAAATACTGTCAATTTGAACATTGATTTTTCTTCATATTTTATTCTTGTTCTAGCTCCAGCCTCACCAGCTTTTCTTGTAGAAGAATGCATTTCAGAACGTAATGTTATTACTCTTGTGTGGCAGCCCACATCATCTGTACCTATTGATCGTTATACACTGGAACTGGATGATGGAGCAGGTGGAAATTTCAGGGTTAGTTAATGTTACATAATGTTCTTCTAAATATCTCTTCTTTTTTATTGTTATTCACTTTAGTAGTAAACATATGACTACCTAAGTATTACTCAGATAATTTATTCAAATCAAAGACCTGTAATTTTCTGAATTAAGCTTTGTATGTTGTGTCCGTGGCATTTCTAATTCTTGTGTCTTCAACAATCTGATCGGTTTATCTTTCTTTTACTATTACTATTACTAATATTATCTGTTACTGATTATTAGTTATATTTAGGAAATAACGATCATACTACAAAAATGACAGCTTTTATGCAAATTAGTTTTCGAAAAAAAATATTTTGTTAATAATTTACTTAGTAATCGTTTGTTTCGAAAACATTTACTTTCTGGTTATAAAAACATTTGTTCTATTATCGCCTGCTTCATAAAGACACCACAAGTTATTTCTTCCGTTTTATATTCGCCTAAAAATATTTTCAAATATTATAACAATATTGTTTAATATTATTCAGTTATATGATTTATTCGGATTAGTTTAAATTTGAAAGTTATTTTCATATGATACTTATTTAGTAAACGATCGAAAACGACATAAAATAAGATGTTGATTTGTTTTCAGTTCATTCTGTTAAGTGTCTACAAGTGATCAGAAACAATGTCAAATTCAAAACTTTTAGAACTAGAATGAATTATATCAGTTATTTGTTGACGTGATTGATTGATATTCTATAAAATAAAATGAGTTTTACAGTTTGAAGATATGATAAGGATGACAAAATGTAGAAATTCTAGTGTATATCGAATATGACAGTAAAGAAATCAATATTTTTATTTCGAGTGACTGTTTGTTTAAGGCAACATATTTGATGTATGTCGAAATAGCCTAACATAAAACATTGTTTTAAACTTTTAAACATCACCATTACTGTTGATTAATTTTCATTAACGTATAGTTTATAGAAAAAATATTTAGACCGAATATTTTTTAAAAGATGCAAGTAAATTCTTCGTCTGACGTTTATAAATGTCATTATAAAACGAACTCTCTGGAATTATGGTTTATTTTCGATTGTGAATAGTTCATTCATATCATAAAACTATGATTTAATACACAACAAACTTACACTAATTAGCAATTCTTCACTCGTTTTATCCTAATTCACTGAAGATATACGAGTAGACTTACTTTTTTCTGTGTGCATTAGAGTTCGAAGACTTCATAAAACTATTGATTTATTTGGTATTTTATGAAGAAAGCCTAACAAATGACTGATTACTGAGTATGGATAAATATTATGATTGCTTAATCCTTATGGTGGCTATAATTTCTGCGGATTAGGTTCCAATGCGACGACCAGTTTGAGCGACGTGACGTCGTATGTACTATGGTAATGTATTACGCGGCTGGATTGTTCGATGCCACTAACTTCCACGTTCGTGGTACGGGAATAAACATACATGTTATTAGTCATTACTCGGTGACTCATCACCTGTTAATGCTCAGCCCTTCACAAGACCACTCTGAACCAAAATATATCAGCATTATAAAAACACTACGATCATTCTTGTGTGAAAATTTAAGTTTTTTCATAATTGTTACTATGTTATTCATCAAATATAATAGTATTAATACATAATATAAGCGCAACTACTTGATCGAAAATAAATGACATTATCTTTTTATCTCTTAACTATCCATATATTATCTGGTTCAGGTATTTTTCAGCTTACTAGACAAAATTTAAATCGTTTTGGTAAATATTATGAAAATAAAAACTATTTATTTTCTATGCAACCTATTTGATGGATGAATATTTTTTCATTTTTGCAAGGGAAATATGAAACCTAAGATTATGAAGTATGAGGGATAAAAAGTCCAGTAAAGTCCTTGCACAGCATTTAAATTTATCTTACTTTATTACTTACACATGTTAGCCCAAATGGAGCATAGGCTGCCTACCAGTTTTCTCCAACCTACCTGTCCTGGGTCTCCCTTTCCAGCTGTGTACAATTTGGGTTCATTCTTTTCATGTCTGTCTCCATCTATCGGCGAACTTGTTCCTTGGTATTCCTCTTTTCCTTTGATATTGAGAGTTCCAAGTGAGGGCTTGTTTGTGACGCAGTTGGTTGCTTAACTCAATGTCCACCGTCACAGCTTCTCCCTGATTTCTTCCTCTACTGGAATCTGGTTTGTTTTCTCCCTCAGTAGGTTGTTACTGATGGTTTCTGGTCAAAAAATCTGAAGTATTTTGTCTAGAAAACTGTTAATGAATACTTGTATCTTCTGGATGATGGCTTTGGTAGTTTTCCAAGTTTCCGCCCCATGCATTAGAAATGTCTTGACATTTGTATTGAAAATTCTGACTTTGGTGTTTCTTGATATTTGTTTGGAATTCCAGATGTTGTTCACTTGTAGAAATGCTGTCTTTGTTTTGTCGATCCATGCCTTGACATCTACATCAGATATACCTTGCTCATCAATAATGCTGCCTGAATTTCTAAAGCGTTTTACGTACCAAGGCATTTTCATCAAGAATGATTTAGTTGGCGCATGTTGTGTTGTGTCGGAGAATCGTGCTTTACCCTTTGTGTATGTTGAAACCTGCTGCTTCTGAGGTTGCTGCTACACTGGTTGTCTTTTCTTGCATTTGTTGTTGCATGTCCTTAATTTAGAAATGAAAAGATTGTAGTTTTCTGCAACATAGTTAAAATAGCAAGAAGGATGGACATGTTAGCGTCCATTTAGTAAAACTTTTTCATTTTAAACGCCTAATATATTGATATTTAACTAAAGGAATAGTATTTTCCTATTTTTACGAAAAAATAACTTGATTAAAATTTTGAATAACTATTTTCCAAAACAATATAATTATTCTGATTTAAAATGACACTAAGTTCAGTAAGATTTATATAATGACAAAAATTTTATCTCATTACTTTAGGCAAATGAGGAAGGAAGCCAAGTGAGATGTTTTGTTTCTAGAAATAAAGGGGAAAATCTTTATATTTCAGTAGTTTGCTATACTAATAATACACATCTTTCTATTGATTGACAGGGAAAAATAAATCAAGCGTACAGCCTCAATATGTCTGATAAATCAAAACAAATTCTTTATGTCAACTAACAAGTCCATACTCTTATTGTTGCATTATACATCAGTAGATTTTTATGTGAAAAATAGTATTAGGTCAATGAAATCATTTAACAGACTGTGCTTACTTTGCAGAATATTTATGGTCAATAACTTTTATAAACATAATTATATTTTAATGACGTTACTTTATGTAATATTCTATGCGGTATGTTCAATTTCATTTCAGTTGGTCATTTCATGAATAATAAATCATAACTAATCAATACTATCAAATATTCCAATAAAATTAAAGTTATATTCTATCGGTCTTTTGAGCTATACAACTATGAATGTAGGACATTGTGGTTATTGATGTTATGCACAATTTTTTTTAGACGATAAGCAATACTAGATTTTAAAACTTTATTCAATTTATTTTATCAGTTGGTTAGATTTCTTTAACGTTCGTGATAGTGAAAATTTTCAAACTGAGTCAAACAATTTGAACCAAACATAAACGACAATTTTTTGTATTTAGAATATTCAGAATAAATTCGTTGTATGTCTGTACTTTCTTTTTATCTACAAACAAAGTAATAAATTTAATCAGTTTAAAATATTGATATACTTGAAAAATGTAAGAAAAAAATTGTCAGAGATGAATAGCTGGTCATTTTTAGAAAGCAAAATTATAATAAAGTTGTAAATAATCTTATTGAGTTCAAAATGTATACCACGTTCAAAAATTGGTACAAAGCGAATATGCCGAGTATAGTTTTTCTTTTAATATATAAGATTTTTGAAACTTGAATAATAAAACGCATATATGTCTATTTTTAACTACTTCTAACCTTACCGACATCATTAACTGATCGTAGACAATCTTCGACAGCCTGGAATGGCTGAAAGGCCTCTCTATCCTGTTATGGGACTCTCTAATAAGCATACCCTCTCCAGTGAGGATCAAATCCGGTCTTTCGAACAAACACCTAACCCATGAACTAGTGAGTCAGGACTCAGTGATGCGAAAGTCTGACTTAAATGAGTCATTGATGTTGATTTTAAAAAGACGTGTGAATTTGTCAAGACGCTTCCCGGTTATTCTAGAGTCTTCAAGTGATATCACATCACGATAAAAAATTACTTTCATATGACTATTACCGATGACTTGCACTCAAGCAGCCACGTCTAAATGTAAAATTTTTGAGATAAATTCCATGAACCAATCAATACACATGAAAACATTGTTTATTTATTAAGCTAACTAAATAATACGTTTTAATGATCTTTTAATTTTTGAGTATATATACACATTTTCTAACTTGATACTTAAATTTAATAATCGTAATTGGATCGTAAACATGTTCTCAAAAAGGCAAATATATTGTAAATTGAAATCTAATAACATCAACATGCTATTTAATAAATTGTAAGTTTCGAAGATTATTAACTTATCACAGTAATGGTTATATTATCGTAACGATAAAAATCTAATTTCGCTAATTTATTGATGTCTTGAATTTGTATTTAATGTTTTGATTATTTATATGTGACTGTGCATTTTTAGGAGTATGCACACATATTTATATATGTATTATGTATTTTTTGCCTAGAGGCAAAGTTAACTGTTTACTGAAAAACACAAAGTAATCTTTTTCCCGGTTTTATGAATAATTTCACTATTTTTATAAAACCTCTGAATCAGAATAGAATATTCAATCTACAACTGAATTATCTCACAAGCGATTGGAAACAAAAAATAAAATTATTAACGTTTCAAGAAAACTCATCAAAACTTACGTTTTGAAACAATGACACAGTTCGGCTCTATTCTTAATAGTGAAACCCTTTTGAACTTTATAAATAAATATTTCGCAGTCGGATTATGAAACGTGAATGAATAGTGCGTAGATGATGTCAGCTAAATATTTTACAACTTGCAACCATCTGAGAAAGCAAAGTACCAAATGTCCCCAATTATCCCTAACTTTTTATCATATGGATACTTCGAAACAATGTTTAGGTTTTTAAATCCCTGAAATCACTAACCAGTAGTTATTGGATTTAGCTGAATAATTCATTACTTTAAATTCGAATAAACCACTTTCGTTAATCATTTTTGAGTTAACGAACCGTTAAATGATATGATTACAAAATTCATATATAATTACTGTAGTTTCTTATATAAGATTTCCATATTTAAATTTTTTCACAATTTCCTTTGTTAATAAATATATTCAGAAAGTTTACCGGGGAGTAGAAACAATGTGTACCGTTGAAGGTTTACACTTTCGTTCGATCTATCGTGCTCGTGTTAAAGCACACAATCAAGCTGGTGAAAGTCAATACAGTGAACGAATTTGTCTACAGACATCAGATTGTAAGTGAATAATAAATATAATTTCTGAATTAATTTCAATAAATAGTTCAAATGAAATATTAAACGAAATAAATATGACTAAGAAATTATTTCATACAGTTTTCTTTATTAACTGTATTAACAGATAGTAATCACATTTAGTTCAATAGAATAACATGAATTCATTTTATTTTATCAGATTCTCATCGATAACTTACAATCAGTAATGTTTAAAATTTGAAATTACTAAACAGTGTTTAAAAAAATTAGGATACGGAAACGAATCCCGTTCACAGTTAATGTAAACATATTTAAGACCATTTTCGCGAAAATTCAGATAAGTTTGAAAGAATGAATATAAATATTTCAAATATGTTTTAGAAGCATAAGAAAATCTAAAACATAAAAAACGCAGATTGGGTAAAGCAGGCACCTACAGACGATAAGTAGGAATAAATTAAAACAAGCATATTTTAGTGATTTAAAGAAAGTATAGAACTAGTGAAATACTGATATAATGAAATAGTTTAATGAGAAAAAGAATTTGAAGAATTTTCATATGAAATAAAATGTTGATTATCGAAACAGATATAGACCAATAACGGTTTCTTTTTGAACTTATAAATTAGGTTTTTCTTACTTGTTGATCATATTTTCAAGAAACTTTAAAAGTCGAGAACTTTACTGTCTGTGTACTACCTTAAAAAGTTACCATTCTGTTCGTTTATTGTCTTATGTTTCTGAGGTGGCTGGAATTGCCCCAGTGGATACACTCATTTCTTTTGTTCAAAGATTTCTCGAAAAATAAAGTTATTTAATTTTTCTATATTTTATTGTTTTCTACATTTAACTTATCTGAAGCTAATTTATATGAAATATTTTGAATAAGATTGATTAAAGTTGAACAATAATACTTTTGGATGTCTAGAAGCAAAGTGTTCGCGCGAAACCGGAGGTCCCGGATTCGAGTCCTACGATCGGCAAGAGTTTACGATGCTCACTGCTGATGAGTCCGATACCAGGATGAAACGGTAGTGTAGTGTTTCTAGGTTTCTAGTGGTGATCTATTAATGATTGATTCATGATCTGAATCAATAAGAATGTTCATATATTGTTAAAATAGCTATGTTTCTAAACAAATAAAGTGAAACAAGCATAAAAACTATTAAAATTTACGTAGTAAAAAATTTAGATTACCTAATTTACTAAATAATTTACATGTAAATTCTACTTCTAAACATAATAAATTAGGTATAACAGAGTGACAGCGACTTAAAACTTTTCATCATCGGAAGTTATTGATGTTAAAGTCACATCATTTCTACTTAAAGACAAGTTATAGAAAGTAAATTTTCTATATATACTTTTAAAGAAATTCCAATTCATGGTGAAAACGACTGTACGCCAGTAATCCAAATAAATACAGCATAAATCGATGTTATGTTTAAATTTTTGGAGATCTACCTGTTCTTCTGTATGGTATCAGGATACCCTACATCTTTTGTGCTTTTGTGCTATTCGACACTTAGCAGTAAGGTATGCCCGTAATCTAGGGGTAAATGATGCTCCTAAGCGGATTCGATTCCATGTTACTCATTTTTACAGTCAAAGATGCTGCCATTGCGTTATGCATTTAGTGGCTAACTTCCTGTAGTAATGAGATACATTTTCCAGCTCATCAATCATTAGGTAGTATGTGACTAGGTATCTAACATACATGAAATCGGTCACTAAACAGCGATCGATCAATTTTAAAATGATGTAATAAAAAGAAGCCTACTTCAAACAACCACTCTTTTTATAACTTTGAATTTACTCAACTTGTAAACATCATTAAGAAATATTTTTTCAAAGGAAAACACTATCAAATTAGAATGATAATTTTTCAATCTATTCAAACTTGAACATATAATTCCTATCCTAATTGAATTCTTTTCATTATACATCCCTCATACATACAGACGTAAGCACTTAAATCGTTTCATCTAAATGAATTATTGAAAGCTGTTTTATAATTCTTTGAACTTAATTCATTTAATATTTCAAGTTTAATTTTGAATTTACTTTTTTCATTGTAAAAATGTGTACTTCTTTTGCATTGTTAACATCATTTCTCAAGATACATATAAATATATCTATTCTTTAACTAATATAAACTCAATAATAACATTAAACAAGAGGTGAAGAAATATAAGAAATAAATTCTATGATAATATGAACCAGAAAATAATTTTATTTCATAACATAATTATTGCTTTATTTAAGTGTTTACAAAATCAAACCTATTCACTTGAGTATAACATAAAATTATCCTAGAATCAGATTCTAAATTGCAGTAAATATTAGTGAATTATTTTTTAAAGTTTACAACAAAGCAATAATCACATAAGTTTACTGGATTATCAAAGTTTTAATGAGAAGTTATGACCAATGGAACTCAACCACAACACAAATAAGATAGTTATTATCAGTGATAGCGAATGGCAGTCTCAATATAGCATGCATAAATTGAAGTTAAAAATATTAACTGCTCTTATTCTAAATCAGTGGCTCAAGCTCGGTCAGCTTATTGTCAGATCTAAAAACTCTCAGTTCACTCTTTCTTAGTTTAGTAAGCGATGACTAGTGAAAAGTTTCAATCTAGAATTAAGTCACTTTCAGCTAGTTTCCCAGCTGACAAATATCCGAGACAAAAATTATCATCAGAATGATATATTAATGAAAATTTCGTTTTTTCAGTGGTGCGACGAATATTTTCAATGATGTCCAATCATTTAAGGAGTGTAGTTGTACCTCATTAATGATTAATGATGTAGTTTGCTTGCTTTGTTGCTTGATATTTCAATTTATTTAAACAAGATTATCCTAACTACAACTTGTGTGCCAAGAATAATAAAAAATATTTGTAAATAGATCAAACAAACGAAGTCTTATTATATCATTAAAACGAACTTTAAATATATGGAATGGATAGAATGGGGTTAGCAGAGGAATCCAGGACGCGCGTTTTGTCCTATTTGTGACTAGTCAGCTGGATATACCTAAATTTCAGATTTGACGTTCATTTTAAGACTCGAATTCGACACCAGTCGCTTCAAATGCCATCGCGTTTTCCACTTAGCTACTAAGTCCAAATGATCCCTCACTTGTGCAACGGGTATGAGATTTTATTCAATTCGAAATGGTTTGGATTATCCATCTGACGAGTCTCAAATAGGACGACGCCCGCATCCTGGATTCCATTCTCAGCCACATCCTATCCATTTTATTTAAAATTGCATCAGAATGGCTGTATCGAGACAATCCGCATAGGATGCTCATATACCAACAAAGACTGATCAGATTTCAGTTGAAGGATCAACAACGAGATAATCTAAACCAATTCGAATTGTAATTAAGCTATGTTTCTTTAGGTAGGGAAGACGAGAACAACTCACGTAGATACAGTACAAAAGTTGGTTGGTATTCAATGAAAAGTAAATTTGTAGAACTGATTATATTGAGGCATAAACTTCAACCTACTACCGATGTCTAATAATTGTCGAGCTGTATGTCTTTTTGCATCACTCGCATCCAGTTTGATATTAATTTAGAAAAATTATGTGCTCATTATTCCAAAATGAATGATTTTTTCTGATTCAACAATATTATTGTCGTCATAAAACATCAGAACATAAAATGAGGTAAATTATTTCATTGGCTATTTGTAAAACTCAACTAAAATTTAAATTGTCTTCTAAACTTCCAATATAAATGAATATTTTGATATCAATAAATCGAAAAAGTGCAGTCAAAATGATGAGATGGTTATCCATATAAGTAGTGATGCGAGAATAATGTCTTGCATTGCGATTAGCATATTGTTTTTGCTAATTTGTCTTTCTTGTAAAGAATATAAATCGACTGTTAACAGGCACTTATTTCATTCATACATGATTGTAGTGACACCGCAGCACCACATGATGTTTTGTGATTTCTACGAATAGGATAAATTTTATTCTCACGTAAAACCATCATTAAAAATTGGAAAAGTTTTATTTTATAAAAATATGTTTTCTTGTTTATTCATAGTACTGAAAATATGTGTTCATGAGAGTTAAGTCAAAATAGGACCATAACCTTTCTTTCTAGAAATCTATGACAAGTATGTTTTGTTTACATAAACACCAAGGGAATTCGTACAGAAAAAATATAGGAGACCGTATCTTGACACTTTCTAGAAAGTTCCATGGAAACTTTTTCGAAAGAGAAAATAGAAAGGTGAAAAATACTGATGAATCAGTATAACAAAATGTCATGTACATTTTTCAGTTTTTAATATGAAAGGTTTGTTTGATGTTATTATCTATCATGATATTATTAATTTATATGTTTTGTTTAAAAATAATACTAATCATTCTGAACAAAATAAAGAAAATGCTTAAAAATATAAATATTATTTATCAAATGTTTTTATTTAGTATTAAGATTAAGATGATCGGAATTTTCCACATGGTTCTTATTTTACTTTTAACCTAATGGTGAATAATATGATTTAAATAAATTTAAACCGAATGAAAAAAACATTTTGTTAGCAGTTTCATAAACTGATGACTGTATATGTGGCTACATTATATATATATATATATATATATGCAGAGATAGTCCGTAGATAACTGTCTAACATGGTTGTACGCTAGCTATCCCTCAACATGACGGTACTACAATTTGAAACCAAATAAACTACATTATGACCAACGGTTAATTTGTGTTCTATCTGATGAAATCCAATCGATACTAAGGATCAGACAGTGTTATATTAGTTTACAAGGTGAACTGAAGTCCCCAGTAGTATATAATTCGAAGAAATTCATCAATTATTCAATTAAGATATTTATCTGCGATCTTGTCAACAAATATTTGGTTTCAGATCTATTTGAAATTAGTTTTATGTACTTGTAAATAAGTTTTGTACTTAATTTATAAAAAAAAGCTTAGACTATGTTTTGTGACAACAAGCTAACTATTTCGTTTTTGTATTTACTTCCTCTCCTATTAGTTACCTGGTTTCATTTGGATATTAATACGTCAGTACCAGAAATTCTACTTACCAACGGAAATCGAACTGTTACTAGTCAGCTAGCTGAGGATAGAGTAATTCTTGGTTCAACTGGTTTATCAAGAGGGTACATTATTGGGAATTCACTGTAGATCTTTGTGATCCTGGTGGACAACCTGCATTTGGCATAGCTAGATATGATTGCAATAAAGAAATAATGCTTGGTGAGTGCTATAATTAATAAACTATCATTTGTAATAAACCGATACTATGTAGCTTCAAAGGCCCATCAAACAATATTACACTAATTATGATTAAAAATCGTAATATTCATTAGTTCTCTCTATTTCTACTATATTAAACATGAATTGAATAGTTTAGGAGGATCATTCGAAACTTTCTTGTAACTATCAGAATAACGTGACCGCCAGATAAATAGCGTCAACGTACAAATGAAGATTATAAAGAGTATATGGCTGATGTTTAACTTTTTCATATGCTTGAACTTAAATCACTAGCGACAAATATAGAGATGTTATAAAATTATTATTATATTATGTGTACTCTAGTAAATGTTCACATTTTTATTACTAGCGACTCGTTCTTTCGTTATCCTTGTCTCTAAATGTTTTATACATTTTATTTCTGACTTTCATTCACTATCTTTTTTATGTCAATTTCTCCTCAAGGCGTTTTATCCTTCTATGCTTCTAATTATCCATATTACGTGCAAATGAAATGAAAAGATACAAATTTGTACATCTATGTGTTTGTTGCTTATTTCATTTTGAGTAAAAACACAATTATTTATGAAATGCCTTTTATCCTTTTTTTCTGTACTTTTGTTTTTGTAAAAGAGAAAGGAAATCTTAATGAAGTATGTAGGGGAACGAGAAAAAGTAGCAAAGAAACATGATGTGATATGAAACATGAATATTCTCTATTTTCATTTTCAGTTTTTTTATACTTGTTTACTCATCTGTGATTTTTAATCATCTCTACGATCATTCAAAAATTAAACAGTATTACAGATTTCAATGTGAATTAAGTAATTGGAAACTAAATGTTCTGTAGAAGAATGTTATAAAAATAACTTAAAGCACATTAAATAGTTGTCATTATTTACTACAAATAAACAAATTACTGTCGATCAGTTTACTTGCATGATTTACGATCAAATGCATAACTAAATGCACATGAACCTCTAATTCACAGTTAGATGTCTCTAATTATAATCAGTCTATCAAGTTTTCAAACATATGCGAAGTAATTAATTGGGATTTGAATTAATCTTCTTCGAATTCCATAGTTGTTAATCAAAATCCTTGATCAAAATAATCTGAAGTGCTAAGATATAATATTGTTTTTTCAAGTTTTAACTCCAAATAAAGCCTTGTTACAAGTTCTCTGGTATTCTATATATCAGATATATGCTTCGTATAAAGTACATCGCATTCAACGAAGCTTTGGTTGTGATACTGAAGAAAATATATATCGTCATTATGAAAAGATCATTTTAAAAGATGAATTGGTTAATTTAGCTTAAATGATCCATTGTAATGATAAACTACTGTGTAGTTTGTAATATTTACAGAGGAGCTTATAAGTTGCATACAGTGAGTGTGTAGCATAGTGTCTCCATGAAGTTACGTCCAGAGCAAAGATTATAAGGATCTGGGTGTTTTAACGAACACAAATTATGTGGAAGAAGAAAGCCAAGAATGCTCTTGTTTTGCAAATGTATGTTTTATGATAAGGTATACAAGTATCGGCTAGTAGATTATCTTCGTCAAATAAATAGCTTATCTCTTTTGGGCTTCCTTATCCTTTAAGTACACTGTATTTACAAACATTTTTAAAAGCAAATCTTTTCTGTCGCAAACTGAAAAACTAAATTTACTGAGAATTTGGTGGTAAATTTTAAATCCATTAAAAATGAGCTCTTATAGAGGTACACAGTATCCAACCTAAAATTCTCATATATCGCAGCTAACTCAACACCTTGACATTTTTTAGTTGAAATGTTGATCCACATAGGTAACAGTTTTCTTACATATTATACTGAAGAACTTTTAAGATCATAACTTTTCATTTTAAAGGTCAGTACTAGTTTCAAATCTGGCTGCATTTAAGTACATTGTCATTATTTAAACATTTGGCTTGAGATTAATTAAATGAATCACAGTCAGTTAAATCATTTGTCTCTTTTTCGTTTTAAACTAGAAAAAAAATCACACTTTAAACCATGAAATGATCTCAGTTACCCCATTATTAAAAACTGGGAAGTACTTAACATCTAATTTGTACATGTACAGGACTCCTCATCAGTGTGTGCCCAGGAACTAGGATCTGAGAGTCAAACCTACGACCTTTAGTCTTGTTCATGAACATTTATCTTTTGAACTACTGAGTAGGCATCCAATGGTGTACATATCTAATTTCAATCATTTAGCGCATTAAGGTTTGCAGTGATAATTCAGCTAAGATTATCTTGTGATTTAAACAAAATCTCCACAAATCCATCAATTCTGAAAAAAAATCATACTTAAGAGACAAAAATCAAACACATTTCAATGTAAAATATAATCAGTCAGACAGACATGATCATTTTATTTCTGCGCTATTAGATTATTTTGTCAAGCAATAAACATTACATCATTCTTTTTATTTCAAAACAATTGTATTTTATTACATTTTTCATTCAAATTTTTAATGAATCTATGAATTTGAAAAAAAAACTCTAATTCAGGCAGTAGATTTTTTAATTTAGTTTATGTAAGTTTGATTATATATGTCTGATGAAATATTAAACTTGCAAGGTTTCAATATGAAATTTTATTTTTAGTGGATTTATTTTGTAATATGTCAATCTTAAATGAATAATAACTGATTACTTGAATGTCGTTGTGATATTTAGAAAGAAAACAATAGGTCTACTTTTTATTGACATAATTATTTTTCTTTAATTGTATGTAAAACTTTGGAACAATTAATTAAAGTTGATTACAGTAAAACGAAAACTTCATTTATTTGTAAATAGAAGTAAATAAATGGTACTTTACTTCTAGTCATTGAATTCTGATTTATCGATCTTGATATATTGTTTATTTCACGAAACCTGAAATCGCTTGCTCACGCTGGGTATTTCCAAACTAGGAATGAACATATATCTTTTGTTGTCTGATCCACTAAAAAATTCACATATACAGTTGAAAAAAAAACATCGGGTACATTTGGAGCTCGTTTTACATACGACATATTGCAAATAATAGGTTTGAACTCGGATAAACAGTCTATAACTATCACGTCTCTTTACATAGTCAAAAAAACATAATGTTGTCATTTGAAGATTAGAAGTTTCATTCTGATCAGTGGTGTAATTTCATTTTATTTTGAATTATTTCTAGCTTTCTAGAGACAATATATCAGTAGTCTAATAAAAACATGATGTCTCAAAAGTGATCTATGTGCTATTTGTGTCAAACTAAAATGATTGAAATAAGATAACACCTTTTTAGGAAAAACTTTCCATTGAAATCGAATCTCTTCATCTTGGTTGTCACTAACATTTTTTAACTCCAGATTTGTTAGACAATTATTTAATGACTTTTCACTTATCATCAAGAACCCACCAGTAAGTAACTTGCTTATTTAGACTTTCTAGCATCATTATTCTGAAGTAACATGCATTTAATTAATTTTGGCGTCTAATAAATCATACGATAAGATAATTCTAGATTGATAAAATAAGTTAATTATATATTTTTTTTAAAATTTCATTTTGATTTTATCAAAATATCACTTGATATTTCATTCACTAAATAATTCCAATGTGAAGAGGAATTACGAAAATCATTTTTTTTCTAAAAATAACTAAACTTATCTATGTGTCGAAAAAATAAAAAAAGCAAACGGAAAATAATTGTTTTCTACAGAAAAAAAGAGAAGAACTGAACGAGGAAAAGATATCCGAATAAGAATCCGATTCAACTCAAACTCAATCGGTGATTCAGCAATTTTATTTCGCATCATCAATGTATATATATATATATATATATATATATACGCATTATTCAGTCACATATAGAATTCAGTTGACTTCATTTTCTGAGAAATGGTGACTCATTAATTCCCTAGACACGCAGATTTGCCTAGTCGTGTCAATACAAAATAAACGTTGATGCGATACTCGTAAGAGTTTACACTATTACAAGTCATTTAGCCTATTCGTCTTTGAATATTGTTGTTTATACTCGATGGAAAAGAAAAATGAAGTGAACAGATTATCATTATCAGCTCATAAATTTCATATTGCAAGCATAAACACACTACTAATTGATAATCATGATGATGATGAAAAACAGCTTACCAAAATATTGTCTTCTTTTCTCTTATGTTATTCTTTACAAATTGAAATTACTTTTCTTGCTTTTTTTTTAAAAAAAATTTCATTAAAAGTAAGTGAATTAAAGAAATATTCATTACGTGCATTAGTCTGGTAGATTTATTTTTCACTCATTTATGATTATCGAGCTTTTTTTCCATTGACTGTATTGAATACTGTAGAGATTGTTTTGCACTGTTCACTTTTCTTTTTTGCTAAACATATCCTTTTTATTGTTATTACTGGCAGTTATTTCGATTTTTCACTGTCTCGTTTTTATTCATTATCTCTCTTCAGTTTTCATGTACACTTTAGAGAATTAGGCAGGAATGAATCATCAGTAAATTAGATTTACACTTTCATATCAAAAAAACATTCCACCTCGTCATCATCATCATCATCATCACAACCAACAACAACTTCATCAATTTGATTGAGACTGTTATTTTGTTTTATTAATATTATTATTATTATCATTTAATTATCATATCATTCAATTAAGCTGACGCATTGATATTGCATGATTGTATGATACATTTGAAAATGTATGATATAATCAACTGACAGAAATGAGTGTATCAATCGCCTCTTCAACTGATTATTATATGAATAATAACAAATAAAAAATTTGGTTGATCAGACAGATGAGCTGATTCATCATTAATTAATATTGTCATAGTTATGTTACTTTGATTTTAAACTTCTGAAATAATAGTTTATGAAAATTTCCACGAAATACTTGACTTGAAAATAAATTACATCACGAGTTAACATGAAAATAGAAAAATATGGTTGACAAACTCTAGAATGTAAAACAACTATTCACTTATTGTACAATAATCAATAATGCATACACTCCTAACTGTTTGTACATGTGATGGAAATTGAAAAGTTTTAAACGACAATAGAAGCATGTGACATGTTTGAGTCCGTAGCTGGTATAACCAGTTGCCAAAATATGAATAATTTAATCTCTTAGCTATCAGCTGCTTTTTTTTAATCATTACATTAATAATATGTAGTATTTGTATGTAGACAAAGAAATGTATTTATGTCTAACTATTGACATTCCCTTAAAAAAGAATTATGAACTCAATAAGATAAGCGTTAAATTTAGAACCTTAAGAAATTATTTAAAAAGAAAAAAGTTATGAGAAACAATTATCCAGTTAACATACATAAAGTTTAGTCAGAAATCTATTACGATAAATAATAATCATACAAATGTAAACAATACGTAAAGTATAGAAGTAACAAAAAGTACTGCTTATGTACTTAAATGCCTATCTTAAAATAATGTGAATGTGTGATACAAAAAAATTTAGATCTTTCTAGGTCAACGGATAATTTAAACTGTTGTCTAAAATATTGTTATAGATAGTTATATTCCGTAACATTTTGTCAATGACAAATTATCCACGTATTTCTACTTAGATTACGTAAGGAAATAAGTAGAAAGCCTTGGATCTCTTTATAATGCTAGCTGATACTCATCAACAAGGTATCCTTGAAATCTCTCTAGAGGCGATGTTTCTCATGGGATTTTAAGCACGTTTAAACATTTTATCACTGGGCTATTCAAGCTACGAGTGATCTACTGTAAATGTGAAATTTTTGACGATCATCTCGTCTATCAATAAAATCATTATATTTATAAATCAGCTGAATCATAATAAATTTTTGCCTATTTTTACATTGTTATGATGAATTAAAACATAACTAAACATGATATGGATGTTTTTCGAAAAAAAACTAATCGCTTATTGAATGCAAACTTAAGATGAAGAACTAAACAAAAAATATTTCTGTAATGTGATATTCAAAATTCAGTTCATTTCTGGAGACATTTTTATTTCCATTAGTTCATAAGAATAATCTTCATTGAGTTCAATAAATCAAATACCTATCAAAATAGTTATGGTTTATTTTAAGTTATTTTTTAAAATTTTCTTTAACTAAAACTTCATTCTAATTCAATTTTAAATTAGTTTATTGTATGTAGCATTTTTTTTAAAGTTTATTCAAATGATAATTAAACAAATGAAAAATAAAATAATAATGATACATTATAACAATTTATTGTTTATCATTAAATGCCACTTGAAAATTGAATTTATTCTGTTAACTTATGCATTGAACAGATTTTTTCAATGTTGAAAAGGATTTTAACTATCCCAGTGCTAGTAATCTTCATGAAATTGCAATGAGTCTTTGTTTGACATCTTGTCAAGACAAGATAATTTAATTTCTTTCTTATAATTAATTGAATGACATACTCGTCATACAAGTGAATAGTTATCTGAACTCAGAAGCTCAGTAGAAAAAGCTTCTAATGTGTGAATTGAAAGTTACCAAATTCAAGTCTCAAGGTGATTACCAGTATTGTGATATTAGTACATCCATCTGACAAGTTTCAAAACAAATGAAACACTAGTAAGGATTTCACTGTCAGACAGAAATACATCACTTTTACGATAATTTCTTTCCAGCTATTGTTTAAAAATTATGACTATTATTATTATTATGAAGAATTGTGGGATATAATGAAAACGTTTTTAAATTGACTACAAAAATACAGTTAGTAGAAACATTTATTCATTATTCTTTTTATTTTTTCAATTTTAGGTCTTGACATGAAAAGTTGGTCAATTTATTTTGATTTCAAACGAAGTTGGTTTCTTCATAACGGTGAACATTTCGAAAGAACCGATGGTGGAATACATGCAGGTAGTGTAGTTGGTATTCGGCTAGACTGTAATAGAGGCAATTTATCCTACTATTTAAATGATCAACCACATGGTCCAATTGCATTTACCAATTTACCAAGTGGAATTTATTATCCAGCTGTCAGTTTGACAAGAGCTATTCAGCTAACTTTACATTCTGGTTTAGAAGCTCCTAGTGAAAGTGAAGAAAGTGATGAAGATAGTTCTGGTGGTGGAACCGGGACTGAAACCACTTCTATGGCAACCACTGTTTTAACTCTACCTTCAACATTACAAAGCAAAGGATTAAGACAATGAATTTATTTATCAGAGTATGTTTTGAAAAAATGTCATTTTAGTTGTGTGTGTAAAACAACCGCTTTTGTTCTTTGAAACCTTTTGAAATTTGTCTATTATTTATCTTGTATTTCATTTCATTGGTTAGTTTAAATGTATTTAATTTTTTAGTAATGAACAACTGTCAGATGCCTAGAGTGTGAAACCATTAATATAAATCTGTCAATAGATCCGTTTGAAGTGGGCTACAACTCTGTTGAGGTTAGAAAAGAAATCAACTTTGAGAGGAATTTGCCTAAATCCAAGCACGTTTGTTTTCTTAAAGGATCAATTGTTTTAAATAGTACTGTTTATTCAATGTTTCCAATGAATTTCTAATATCTATTGGCTCCAATCTAGTAGTTTTGATATCTGTTTTAATTCTTAACGTAAAACTGAGAGAAGAGACGTTATTCCGGTCGCGCCCCATTTTTCACATCCGGAGTTTTCTGGGGAAAAAAACCAAAAGATTACTTTCACTGACAATAGTTTGCTTATAATAATCGGTCACATTTTGACAGTTAAATATGGATGGATGGTGATGAAACTACAAACAGCAGTATAGAGAGATAAACAAGATACTTTATTGTTTAGCCATGGTTATTTTATTTTTAGCATATATTGTTCGTAAATCTGAATGATTTCTATAAACAGACTCTGTGGTTGTTTTCCATAAGGATACCATCCCTTAGTTATTTAGCACTTTACGTATCCCATTGAGATTCTGATCTGTTTCCATGTATATTCTGTGTTATTTTCTAATAAAATAGAAGATAATCTAGGGGGTAAACATCAATTCAACAACAGCGATGCTTAAGAATAAAGCAAATAGAAATGTATTTATTAGTATTTCATGTCAGAAAAACAATAGTTGGAGATGTGTACAATGACACTGCTTACATTTTCTTATAATAAAGTTAGGTGTGGCATAACATCGTAAAAACATTCAGTGTAAATATCTGCAACATATATAGCATTTTAGAGGGCATCGCATCTAATGATAGGCTTCAATTCGATTAAATCTATTCAAAAAATAAGTTTATAATAATAAATAAATAACCCATAGCTAGTCTTGCATTTTGGCAAGCAATTTTATTGACTTACACACTGTTTTAGAAATGTATGTATTTATAATAAATTTTGTGAAACGTTATATTTAAAAAGTACTTGATTAATATTTAATCAAAATGTATTTAAGAAAACAAAATGTCATATCACTTGATATGTGAATTAGCATTGGACTTTAAAAAGTGTTTAAGATTTCTTGTTAAATTAAAAGTATACCAATTTCTTTATGTTACTAACAATCAAAAAGAAACCAAGTTTAAAATACAGATATCAGAATAAAATATTACAAAACATAATTTAGTCAACATAAAATTAATCTATGAAATCAAAAATCCACTTAGAAAAGATTTAATTTCGTAATATATAAGGTAACAATAATTTTTAGATAATGATAAACGCAATTCAATAAATTTTGTTATAAATACCAACTTTAAACAGTAAAAAAAAATATTACATTCAATACGATCAAGCATTATGGTAAATTTTTGATTGAACTGATAAATATGACTTGAAACTAGTAACTTGTTTGTTAAGAGAATAGTGAATGAGATATTGTGGGATGCTTTTACATAAAAGCACTAGTACCATGTATACTAAGAAAATACCGTATAAAACTAACATGAATGTTTGGGAAAAATATGTTTCACTAAAGAGATTAGATAAAGAGACTTTTTTTCATTTCTAGTCATTTACAATAAACTAGTTTGTACACTATACAAGTAGAAATTTATGAAGAAAAAATTAACAAACAACCTTGATCAACGCTTAATTTAATTAAATAATGAAGTAAGATGCTTCTTGATACTTTTGCTTCTGAAATCTTCGATAAATAAGAAGTCACCTTAACGTAAAAGGTATCAACATAAATTACTTCTGTACTAAACACCACGCAAGTGATTCAACTTAAATAAATTTCTGTAGTAATAATGGAAATGAATGTAAACCACCGAAACTGTTTTTAATTTTGATAAAAATAAATTATTGAGGTCCATTAGATTTTAAAAAAATTTTGTTTACATCTTGTGCTTAATGTTTAATAATTTCTTTTAAAAGATTTTTGTCAATTTTCATTGTTTATTTTGGAAAAGAATTCTAGCAATTGCTTTTTAAGTTTACATAATTGAACAAAAGTAAAATGCAGATTGAAACATTTAAGATTGTAACAAAATTTTTATTGTAAATATTTTCATGTACATGTGTGAAGTCCTTATGGACGAAAATCCAAATGACTGAGCGGTTAGCAGATGTTATCCATTGATTAGCTACAACTATTTAATATTCATAATCATAAATTTACATCGTCATATAACTTGATAATATGCATATTGCAAACTCGATAGAGAGAATTTAGTTACCGCTTAAAATCTAGACAAAATTACCTTATATAATATTGTATAATGTATAGAATTTTTCAGTTAGTAAACGTTTAATTGTTTAATTAATATGTATAGACATATGTATCTACATATTTTAAAATAAAGTAGCTTCCAAAATTTCTAGGGATTTACCAGTAGATTATCATAAGTCTTTACAGTTTATAAACAAACATCAACTAAACTATCACATAAGTGCCCTCATTGCATTGGAAGTTCATATTGACTCAAGATGTTACACTTTGTAACATTGTGCACTACATTTATTTAACTCCTAACTTGACTTTTACATAAGTCAGAGTTTTTTAAGTAAACATCGACTATAAATTTACTTTCTTATTGATTTCTAATCTCATAATTTGAAAAACATTTTACTTAATGCAGCCAACCCAGATGAATAATTTCAGAAGCGAACAACTATGAGTGGATTTTTCAGTTTATATAAATGAAAATGGATTGTTTGGTAAACTTCAAGTGGTTTAGTGAGGTAGTTTCATTCATGAATTTTACTTCACTGACTTTTTGGAAACTATTTTCCATCGTTGAAGCTAATTTTTATTATGGACTAAAGTCTGATGAAAAACTAATGACAACTATAGGATTACTGGCACAACTAATTCACTTTATTTCAGGACTCTTAAATAAACTATAACTACCTTTTTAATAGGAGAGGAAAAACTAAAATTTATTCTTCTTTTATTTCGTTTAAATAACTAACAACAACTTTTTTTTAATCTTTATTAGCAAACGAGTCGTGAGTTACTCAAAGAAGTTCCATTCAAGCGACACATCAACTTCAGGCTATAAATTTGAAAATAAACTCAAACCAACTAGCTCAAGTTAATGAAATCGTGTTGCATTTCTTCTAGTACATTCTCCTTTTGAATGCATTTTACAAATCCATAATAAATTTTTAAAAATATCCATGAAAATTTTGAACTCCCATTTCTTTGTTTCTGTTTTTTGTCTTGAATGATTAGAATTTCTTAAGTAATCTGATTATTACATATTTTCTCTGTAAAAAATTCAGTAATATAGTGATTATATGCTTAATTTAATTTAAATTGTAATTGTTTTTATTCGATGAACACAAAAATCTTGCATTAAACTGTAATGACTCTTTACAAGAATATAACTTATTAATGTTTTGTTTATCTGAAGTGAATATTGAACTGTGAACATTCAATCATTTATAAACTTATGTGAGAGAAAAAAAACAAATAAATATAAAGTAGACTCGGTCATAAAAAGATACACGCACAAAGTACCCCACGTATATACAATGATAACAGTTGACTTTCTGTTATATATTTAAACTAAATTTCAGCATAAACACAAAAGAATTCTAAAATATTAGATTATACTTAAATTTCAAATCTATCCGTAAAAGCCATAAATTATTAGTATTCATATATTTTCCTCACCTTTTCTTCTTCATTGGTCAAATGCCTCTCCTAATTTTTTTTCCTGTCTTATTTTTATGTGTACATTTCAACTGATATTGATTTAAAAATTGAATATTGTACTGTAAACTTCATTTGGTTTTGTTTAAATGTTGACTCGTTGATCAAATTAACATTTTCCATGATAAATTGTTGATAATTTATCAACCTTTCGCTTAGTTCTTTTTTCTATGTGTTTTTCTCAATAAATAATTAAAATAAACTAATATAAATTACACTTCCAATGCATTTTCACAGATAAACTCTGTTGTGAAACTGTGTTAAAGACAATTGTTTTGTTTTCTTTTTCTTTGAAATATGTCAGTGTAATTTGTGTGTGAATTTATATTTTAAATCTTATCCATATGGTCATTTAATGAAATCATGAATTTTCTTTTCTAATTAGAATATATATTACAAGAATATAGTATGTTGTTGCCTTTTATCTAAGTCAAGTTATTGATGGGTGGAAGGGAATGGAATCACAATAGCAACAACGAACTATTCAAATCTATCAAAATAAATGAAATCGATTAAATGAAGCAGAGTATATACACTTGAAAGAAGAATATCATCCATTGAAATAAAGTTATCAAACCATAATGATTATTATTGAGTTATGTTTAGTCTTAAATATTTTAATATTTTAGATTCAACGAAATTTTGAAAAAACCATCATCCAAATGTTCTGATGCGTTATGGTAAAACCTTTTAATGAACTTCAATCAATGAAAGTAGAGCACTTTATTTTTCACAATAAATTTTACTTCTTACCATGGAATTCATTCTACTCTACCAGCTTGATCGTCTTCCCCTACTTATGTTTGGTGTGTTCGGTTGTATATAGGCCATGTACTTAGTCCAAATAGGTCTGGCAGCATCAAGGCTATCCACTGTATTCCCTGCTTTTCCTGAGATATTGAGCTCTCATACTCAAGCCGACCACCAAAATAAAGAGAAAAGGTGAGAGTAAGTAGTCTTCTCTGGCATTAATCTTACCTTGGAATGCATCTGCAAGCTCCCCTCAATATCACGACGTCGGAGTGAGTCAGTCATTCGGATTCCATATGACAGTGACTATCTTCACAGACACGCCATAGTGTCGAATAAACCGGCATAGTGTAATATCGTCCACAGTGTCAAATGCTTTCTCGTATTCAGGGAAGTAGATGTATGGTGATGAGCTCCATTCGATTGATTGTTCCACAATGATCCGTAGTATAGCGATTTGGTCGGTACACGATCGATCTTAACGAAATCTAGCCTGCTGATCTCGAAGTTGGGCGGCTGCTGAATCTTTCACTCTATACAACAACACTCTGTCGAAGAGGTTTCCTGATATTGAGAGTAGAGTTATGCCTTTGTGATTTTCACACATGTTACGATCTCCTTCCTTCGATATCTTAGTGGAGTATCCATCTTATTATTCTTTTGGTACATGTTCTTCCTTCCAAATCTTGCTGAAGAGAACGTAGACCGGTTTTCCAGTTACTTCCATGTCCGATCTTAGAGCCTCGGTCGTTTGTTATTGTCTAATCCTGCTGCTCTGCTACTCTTTGTTTATCTAATGGCCAGGCTGTTAGCCTCTTTGTTGTATCGTATGGGTGTGTCACGTTTACTTTTCTTGTAGCTCTTTCTGTCATGGTTGTTTGCCTTTGTGTATCTAGCCTGTTCCTTGACTTTCCCTGTTCTTGTTCACTTGTTATTGACTGTTTCCTTCCTGTTTTTCATCTCTTCAGTCTCAATTATAGTATCATCAATAATCCATTCTTTGTGATCCTGCTTCTTGTTGTACAAAACCTTATGACATGCTGATGTTAATGTTTCTTGGATTCCTTTACATTTGTTTTCGATGGTAGTTTCGTCTCCACTGAGCAGATCGTGAGAGCCTTGGAATTTATTGTTGTGAGATATTTGGAATTAATTTAACTTGTCAGTATGCCGAAAAAATGTATTAAAATTTTGTATCACTGTTCACCCAGTCGCTTTGTGCTTCTTTAATTTGAGTTTCGTCTTGGTCACCACCTTGTGAAGAAATGAAACTATGTCAGCTGGTCTATCTGTTCTCACTTCCTCCATAGTCCTTCTGAACTTTATATTGATGCAGATAAGATTGATCCGGTTAAATCCATGCTGCTTTGTGAATGCATTTGTGTGAGAATATGGTGCCGCAAACAGGTTTGCGAATCCCTCCCAGCCCTAATTTAACTAAAAATAGGGCTGGGAGGGATTCGCAAACCTGTTTGCGTCACCATATTCTCACACAAATGCATTCACAAAGCAGCATGGATTTAACCGGAGTCAATCTGATCTGCGATCAATAAAAAGTTCAGAAGGACTATGGAGGAAGTGAGAACATATAGAGCCAGGAGCTGACATAGTTCATTTCTTAAGGGTGGTGACCAAGACGAAAACCCAAATTAGAAAGAAGCACAAAGGCGACCTAGGGTGAACAGTGGATACAAAATTTTAAATACATTTTTTCGGCCATACTGACAAGGGTTAAAATTAAGTTCTAAAATATCTCACAACAATAAAGCTCCAAAGGCTTTCAACGAATCTGCTCAGTGAGAAGACAAAACTACCATCGAAACAAAAATGTAAAGGAATCCAAGAAACATTAACATCAGCATGTCATTAAGGTTTGTGTACAACAAGAAGCTCTCAGCATCACAAAGAATGGATTATTGATGATACTATATATTGAGACTAGGAGAGATGAAAAAACAGGAAGGAAACAGTCAATAACAAGTGAACAAGAACAGGCAAAGTCAAGGAACAGGCTAAATACACAAAGGCAAACAACCATGACAGAAAGAACTACAAGAAAACTAAAGCGTGACACACCCATACGATACAACAAAGAGGCTAACAGCCTGGCCATTAGATAAAACAAACGACCGAGGCTCTAAGATCGGACATGGAAGTAACTGGAAAACCGCTCTACGTTCTCTTCAGCAAGATTTGGAGGGAAGAACATGTAACAAAAGAATAATAAGATGCATACTCCACTAAGATATCGAAGAAAGGAGATCTTAGCATGTGTGAAAATCACAAAGGCGTAACTCTACTCTCAATATCAGGAAACCTCTTCGACAGAGTGTTGTTGTATAGAGTGAAAGATTCAACAGCCGCCCAACTTCGAGGTCAGCCGGCTAGATTTCGTTAAAATCGATCGTGTACCGACCAAATCGCTATACTACGGATCATTGTGGAACAATCAATCGCATGGAGCTCACCACCATACATCTACTTCCTTGAATACGAGAAAGCATTTGACACTGTGGACAATATGGCACTATGCCGGTTTATTCGACACTATGGCGTGTCTGTGAAGATAGTCACTGTCATATGGAATCCGAATGACTGACTCACTCCGACGTCGTGATATTGAGGGGAGCTTGCAGATGCATTCCAAGGTAAGATTAGTGCCAGAGAAGACTGCTTACTCTCACCTTTTCTCTTTATTCTGGTGGTCGGCTTGAGTATGAGAGCTCAATATCTCAGGAAAAGCAGGGAATACAGTGGATAGCCTTGATGCTGCCAGACTATTTGGACTAAGTACATGGCCTATATCTTACAACCCGAACACACCAACATAAGTAGGGGAAGACGATCAAGCTGGTAGAGTAGAATGAATTCCACAGTAAGAAGTAAAATTTATTGTGAAAAATAAAGTGTTCTACTTTCATTGATTGAAGTTCATTAAAAGGTTTTACCATAATGCATCAGAACATTTGGATGATGTATTTTTCAAAATTTCATTGAATCTAAAATATTAAAATATTTAAGACTAAACATAACTCAATAATAATCAATATGGTTTGAGAACTTAATTTCAATGGATGATATTCTTCTTTCAAGTGTATATACTCTGCTTCATTTAATCGATTTCATTATTTTGAATAGATTTGAATAGTTAGTGTTGTCTATTGTGATTCCATTCCCTTCCACCCATAAATAACTTGACTTCTAGATAAAAGGCAACAACACATATATTCTTGTAATTATATATTGCTAATTAGAAAAGAAAATTCATGATTTCATTAAATGACCATATGGAATAAGATTTAAAATATAAATTCACACACAAATTACACTGACATATTTCAAAGAAAAAGAAAACAAAACAATTGTCTTACACAGTTTCACAACAGATTTATCTGTGAAAAATGCATTGGAAGTGTAAATTTTATATTAGTTTATTTTAATTATTTATTGAGAAAAACACATAGAAAAAAGAACTAAGCGAAAGGTTGATAAATTATCAACACTTTATCATGGAAAATGTTAATTTGATCAACGAGTCAACATTTAAACAAAACCAAATGAAGTTTACAGTACAATATTCAATTTTTAATCAATATCAGTTGAAATGTACACATAAAAATAAGACAGAAAAAAAATTAGGAAGAGCATTTGACCAATGAAGAAGAAAAGTGAGGAAAATATATGAATACTAATAATTTATGGCTTTACGGATAGATTTGAAATTTAAGTATAATCTATATTTTAGAATTCTTTTGTGTTTATGCTGAAATTTAGTTAAAATATAAACAGAAAGTCAACTGTTATCATTGTATATACGTGGGTACTGTGTGCGTTTATCTTTTTATGACCGAGTCTAATTTATTTATTTGTTTTTTTCTTTCACATAAGTTTATAAATGATTGAATGTTCACAGTTCAATATTCACTTCAGATAAACAAAACATTAATAAGTTATATTCTTGTAAAGAGTCATTAACAGATTTAATGCAAGATTTTTGTGTTCATCGAATAAAACAATTACAATTTAAATAAATGAAGCATATAATCACTATATTACTGAATTTTTTACAGAGAAAATATGTAATAATCAGATTACTTAAGAAATTCTAATCATTCAAGACAAAAAACAGAAACAAAGAAATGGGAGTTCACAATTTTCATGGATATTTTTAAAAATTTATAATGGATTTGTAAAATGCATTCAAAAGGAGAATGTACTAGAAGAAATGCAACACGATTTCATTAACTTGAGCTAGTTGGTTTGAGTTTATTTTCAAATTTATAGCCTGAATTTGATGTGTCGCTTGAATGGAACTTCTTTGAGTAGCTCACGACTCGTTTTCTAATAAAGATTAAAAAAAATTGTTGTTAGTTATTTAAACAAAATAAAAGAAGAATAAATTTTAGTTTTTCCTCTCCTATTAAAAAGGTAGTTATAGTTTATTTAAGAGTCCTGAAATAAAGTGAATTAGTTGTGCCAGTAATCCTATAGTTGTCATTAGTTTTTCATCAGGCTTTAGTCCATAATGAAAATTAGCTTCAACGATGGAAAATAGCTTCCAAAAAGTCAGTGAAGTAAAATTCATGAATGAAACTACCTCACTAAACCACTTGAAGTTTACCAAACAATCCATTTTCATTTATATAAACTGAAAAATCCACTCATAGTTGTTCGCTTCTGAAATTATTCATCTGGGTTGGCTGCATTAAGTAAAATGTTTTTCAAATTATGAGATTAGAAATCAATAAGAAAGTAAATTTATAGTCGATGTTTACTTAAAAAATTCTGACTTATGTAAAAGTCAAGTTAGGAGTTAAATAAATGTAGTGCACAAAGTTACAAAGTTTAACATCTTGAGTCAATATGAACTTCCAATGCAATGAGGGCACTTATGTGATAGTTTAGTTGATGTTTGTTTATAAACTGTAAAGACTTATGATAATCTACTGGTAAATCCCTAGAAATTTTGGACGCTACTTTATTTTAAAATATGTGGATACATATGTCTATACATATTAATTAAACAATTAAACGTTTACTAACTGAAAAATTCTATACATTATACAATATTATATAAGGTAATTTTGTCTAGATTTTAAGCGGTAACTAAATTCTCTCTATCGAGTTTGCAATATGCATATTATCAAGTTATATGACGATGTAAATTTATGATTATGAATATTAAATAGTTGTAGCTAATCAATGGATAACATCTGCTAACCGCTCAGTCATTTGGATTTTCGTCCATTGGTTTAAAAAAGAATATCCAACTAGGACTCACATATTTGTACATGAAATATTACAAATAAAATTTGTTACAATCTTAAATGTTTCAATCTGCATTTTACTTTTTTCAATTATGTAAACTTAAAAAGCAATTGCTAGAATTCTTTTCAAAATAAACAATGAAATTTAAAAAATCTTTTAAAAGAAATTATACACTAAGCACAAGATGTAACAAAATTTTTTTTAAAATCTAATGACTCAATAATTTATTTTTATCAAAATAAAAACAGTTTCGTTTACATTCATTTCATATTAATACAGAAATTTATTAAGTTGAATCACTTGCGTGGTGTTTAGTACAGAATAATTTATTTGATACATTTACGTTAAGTGACTTCTTATTTATCGAAGATTTCAGAAGCAAAAGTATCAATGAAGCATCTTACTTCATTATTTAATTAAATTAAGCGTTGATCAAGGTTGTTTGTTAATTTTTCTTCATAAATTTCTACTTGTATAGTGTACAAATAGTTTATTGTAAATGACTAGAAATGAAAAAAAGTCTCTTTATCTAATCTCTTTAGTGAAACATATTTTTCCCAAACATTCATGTTAGTTTTATACGGTATTTTCTTAGTATACATGGTACTAGTGCTTTATGTAAAAGCATCCACAATATCTCATTCACTATTCTCTTAACAAACAAGTTACTAGTTTCAAGTCATATTTATAGTTCAATCAAAAATTTACCATAAATGCTTTGATCGTATTGAATGTAATATTTTTTTTACTGTTTAAATGTTGGTATTTAAAAACAAAATTTATTGAATTGAGTTTATCATTATCTAAAAATTATTGTTACCTTATATATTACGAAATTAAATCTTTTCTAAGTGGATTTTGATTTCATAGATTAATTTTATGTTGACTAAATTTATGTTTTGTAATATTTTATTCTGATATCTGTATTTTAAACTTGGTTTCTTTTTGATTTGTTAGTTAACATAAAGAAATGGTATACTTAATAGTCAGTTATTTAATTTAACAAGAAATCTTAAACACTTTTTAAAGTCCATGCTAATTCACATATCAAGTGATATGACATTTTGTTTTCTTAAATACATTTTGATTAAATATTTAATCAAGTACTTTTTAATATAACGTTTCACAAAATTTATATAAAATACATACATTCTAAACAGTGTGTAAGTCAATAAAATTGCTTGCCAAAAATGCAAGACTAGCTATGGGTTATTTATTTATTATTGTAAACTTATTTTTTGAATAGATTTAATCGAATGAAGCCTATCATTAGATGCGATGCCCTCTAAAATGATATGTATGTGCATATATTTACACTGAATATTTTTACGATGTTATGCCACACCTAACTTTATATAAGAAAATGTAAGCAGTGTCATTGTACACATCTCCAAATATTGTTTTTCTGACATGAAATAAATAAATACATTCTATTTGCTTTATCTTAAGATCGCTGTTGTGAATAGATGTTACCCCTAGAGAAAAGAGTTTATCCTTCTATTTTATTAGAAATAAACAGATATACATGGAAACAGATCAGAATCTCAATGGGATACGTAAAGTGCTAAATAACAAAGGGATGGTATCCCTTATGGAAAACAACCACAGAGTCTGTTTATAGAAATCATTCAGATTTACGAACAATATATGCTAAAAAATAAAATAACATGGCTAAACAATAAAGTATCTTGTTTATCTCTCTATATGGTGTTTGTAGTTTCATTCACCATCATCCATATTTAACTGTCAAAATGTGACCGATTTATATAAGCAAACTATTGTCAGTGAAAGTAATCTTTTGGTTTTTCCCAGAAAACTCCGGATGTGAAAAATGGGCGCGACCGGAATAACGTCTCTTTCTCTTTTTACGTTAAGAATTAAAACAGATATCAAACTACTAGATTGGAGCCAATAGATTATTAGAAATTCATTGGAAACATTGAATAAACAGTACTATTTAAAATAATTGATCCTTTAAGAAAACAAACGTGCTTGGATTTAGGCAAATTCCTCTCAAAGTTGATTTCTTTTCTAACCTCAACAGAGTTGTAGCCCGCTTCATACGGATCTATTGACAGATTCATATTAATGGTTTCACACTCTAGGCATTTGACAGTTGTTCATTACTAAAAAATTAAATACATTTAAACTAACCAATGAAATGAAATACAAGATAAATAATCGACAAATTTTAAAAGGTTTCAAAGAACAAAAGCGGTTGTTTTACACACACAACTAAAATGACATTTTTTCAAAACATACTCTGATAAATAAATTCATTGTCTTAATCCTTTGCTTTGTAATGTTGAAGGTAGAGTTAAAACAGTGGTTGCCATAGAAGTGGTTTCAGTCCCGGTTCCACCACCAGAACTATCTTCATCACTTTCTTCACTTTCACTAGGAGCTTCTAAACCAGAATGTAAAGTTAGCTGAATAGCTCTTGTCAAACTGACAGCTGGATAATAAATTCCACTTGGTAAATTGGTAAATGCAATTGGACCATGTGGTTGATCATTTAAATAGTAGGATAAATTGCCTCTATTACAGTCTAGCCGAATACCAACTACACTACCTGCATGTATTCCACCATCGGTTCTTTCGAAATGTTCACCGTTATGAAGAAACCAGCTTCGTTTGAAATCAAAATAAATTGACCAACTTTTCATGTCAAGACCTAAAATTGAAAAAATAAAAAGAATAATGAATAAATGTTTCTACTAACTGTATTTTTGTAGTCAATTTAAAAACGTTTTCATTATATCCCACAATTCTTCATAATAATAATAATAGTCACAATTTTTAAACAATAGCTGGATAGAAATTATCGTAAAAGTGATGTATTTCTGTCTGGCAGTGAAATCCTTACTAGTGTTTCATTTGTTTTGAAACTTGTCAGATGGATGTACTAATATCACAATACTGGTAATCACCTTGAGACTTGAATTTGGTAACTTTCAATTCACACATTAGAAGCTTTTTCTACTGAGCTTCTGAGTTCAGATAACTATTCACTTGTATGACGAGTATGTCATTCAATTAATTATAAGAAAGAAATTAAATTATCTTATTACTGTTTGTCTTGACAAGATGTCAAACAAAGACTCATTGCAATTTCATGAAGATTACTAGCACTGGGATAGTTAAAATCCTTTTCAACATTGAAAAAATCTGTTCAATGCATAAGTTAACAGAATAAATTCAATTTTCAAGTGGCATTTAATGATAAACAATAAATTGTTATAATGTATCATTATTATTTTATTTTTCATTTGTTTAATTATCATTTGAATAAACTTTAAAAAAATGCTACATACAATAAACTAATTTAAAATTGAATTAGAATGAAGTTTTAGTTAAAGAAAATTTTAAAAAATAACTTAAAATAAACCATAACTATTTTGATAGGTATTTGATTTATTGAACTCAATGAAGATTATTCTTATGAACTAATGGAAATAAAAATGTCTCCAGAAATGAACTGAATTTTGAATATCCCATTACAGAAATATTTTTTGTTTAGTTCTTCATCTTAAGTTTGCATTCAATAAGCGATTGGTTTTTATCGAAAAACATCCATATCATGTTTAGTTATGTTTTAACTCATCATAACAATCTAAAAATAGGCAAAAATTTATTATGATTCAGCTGATTTATAAATATAATGATTTTGTTGATAGACGATATAATCGTCAAAAATTTCACATTTACAGTAGATCACTCGTAGCTTGAATAGCCCAGTGATAAAATGTTTAAACGTGCTTAAAATCCCATGAGAAACATCGCCTCTAGAGAGATTTCGAGGATATCTTGTTGATGAGTATCAGCTAGCATTATACAGAGATCCAAGGCTTTCTACTTATTTCCTTACGTAATCTAAGTAGAAATACGTGGATAATTTGTCATTGACAAAATGTTACGGAATATAACTATCTATAACAATATTTTAGACAACAGTTTAAATTATCCATTGACCTAGAAAGATCTAAATTTTTTTGTATCACACATTCACATTATTTTAAGATAGGCATTTAAGTACATAAGCAGTACTTTTTGATACTTCTATACTTTACGTATTGTTTACATTTGTATGATTATTATTTATCGTAATAGATTTCTGACCAAACTTTATGTATGTTAACTGGATAATTGTTTCTCATAACTTTTTTCTTTTTAAATAATTTCTTAAGGTTCTAAATTTAACACTTATCTTATTGAGTTCATAATTCTTTTTTAAGTGAATGTCAATAGGCAGACATAAATACATTTCTTTGTCTACATACAAATACTACATATTATTAATGTAATGATTAAAAAAAAAGCAGCTGATAGCTAAGAGATTAAATTATTCATATTTTGGCAACTGGTTATACCAGCTACGGACTCAAACATGTCACATGCTTCTATTGTCGTTTAAAACTTTTCAATTTCCATCACATGTACAAACAGTTAGGAGTGTATGCATTATTGATTATTGTACAATAAGTGAATAGTTGTTTTATATTCTAGAGTTTGTCAACCATATTTTTCTATTTTCATGTGAACTCGTGATGTAATTTATTTTCAAGTCAAGTATTTCGTGGAAATTTTCATAAACTATTATTTCAGAAGTTTAAAAATCAAAGTAACATAACTATGACAATATTAATTAATGATGAATCAGCTCATCTGTCTGATCAACCAAATTTTTTATTTGTTATTATTCATATAATAATCAGTTGAAGAGGCGATTGATACACTCATTTCTGTCAGTTGATTATATCATACATTTTCAAATGTATCATACAATCATGCAATATCAATGCGTCAGCTTAATTGAATGACATGATAATTAAATGATAATAATAATAATAATAATAATAATAATATTAATAAAACAAAATAACAGTCTCAATCAAATTGATGTTGTTGTTGGTTGTGATGATGATGATGATGATGATGATGATGACGAGGTGGAATGTTTTTTTGATATGAAAGTGTAAATCTAATTTACTGATGATTCATTCCTGCCTAATTCTCTAAAGTGTACATGAAAACTGAAGAGAGATAATGAATAAAAACGAGACAGTGAAAAATCGAAATAACTGCCAGTAATAACAATAAAAAGGATATGTTTAGCAAAAAAGAAAAGTGAACAGTGCAAAACAATCTCTACAGCATTCAATACAGTCAATGGAAAAAAAGCTCGATAATCATAAATGAATGAAAAATAAATCTACCAGACTAATGCACGTAATGAATATTTCTTTAATTCACTTACTTTTAATGAAATTTTTTTTTTAAAAAAAGCAAGAAAAGTAATTTCAATTTGTAAAGAATAACATAAGAGAAAAGAAGACAATATTTTGGTAAGCTGTTTTTCATCATCATCATGATTATCAATTAGTAGTGTGTTTATGCTTGCAATATGAAATTTATGAGCTGATAATGATAATCTGTTCACTTCATTTTTCTTTTCCATCGAGTATAAACAACAATATTCAAAGACGAATAGGCTAAATGACTTGTAATAGTGTAAACTCTTACGAGTATCGCATCAACGTTTATTTTGTATTGACACGACTAGGCAAATCTGCGTGTCTAGGGAATTAATGAGTCACCATTTCTCAGAAAATGAAGTCAACTGAATTCTATATGTGACTGAATAATGCGTATATATATATATATACATTGATGATGCGAAAAAAAATTGCTGAATCACCGACTGAGTTTGAGTTGAATCGGATTCTAATTCGGATATCTTTTCCTCGTTCAGTTCTTCTCCTTTTTTCTGTAGAAAACAATTATTTTCCGTTTGCTTTTTTTATTTTTTCGACACATAGATAAGTTTAGTTATTTTTAGAAAAAAAAAAGATTTTCGTAATTCCTCTTCACATTGGAATTATTTAGTGAATGAAATATCAAGTGATATTTTGATAAAATCAAAATGAAATTTAAAAAAAAATATATAATTAACTTATTTTATCAATCTAGAATTATCTTATCGTATGATTTATTAGACGCCAAAATTAATTAAATGCATGTTACTTCAGAATAATGATGCTACAAAGTCTAAATAAGCAAGTTACTTACTGGTGGGTTCTTGATGATAAGTGAAAAGTCATTAAATAATTGTCTAACAAATCTGGAGTTAAAAAATGTTAGTGACAACCAAGATGAAGAGATTCGATTTCAATGGAAAGTTTTTCCTAAAAAGGTGTTATCTTATTTCAATCATTTTAGTTTGACACAAATAGCACATAGATCACTTTTGAGACATCATGTTTTTATTAGACTACTGATATATTGTCTCTAGAAAGCTAGAAATAATTCAAAATAAAATGAAATCACACCACTGATCAGAATGAAACTTCTAATCTTCAAATGAAAACATTATGTTTTTTTGATTATGTAAAGAGACGTGATAGTTATAGACTGTTTATCCGAGTTCAAACCTATTATTTGCAATATGTCGTATGTGAAAAGAGCTCCAAATGTAAACGATGTTTTTTTTCAACTTGTATATGTGAATTTTTGTGTGGATCAGACAACAAAAGATATATGTTCATTCCTAGTTTGGAACTACCCAGCCGTGAGCAAGCGATTTCAGGTTTCGTGTAAATAACAATATATCAAGATCGATAAATCAGAATTCAATGACTAGAAGTAAAGTAACATTTATTTACTTCTATTTACAAATAAATGAAGTTTTCGTTTTACTGTAATCAACTTTAATTAATTGTTCCAAAGTTTTACATACAATTAAAGAAAAATAATTATGTCAATAAAAAGTAGACCTATTGTTTTCTTTCTAAATATCACAACGACATTCAAGTAATCAGTTATTATTCATTTAAGATTGACATATTACAAAATAAATCCACTAAAAATAAATTTCATATTGAAACCTTGCAAGTTTAATATTTCATCAGACATATATAATCAAACTTACATAAACTAAATTAAAAAATCTAATGCCTGAATTAGAGTTTTTTTTTCAAATTCATAGATTCATTAAAAATTTGAATGAAAAATGTAATAAAATACAATTGTTTTGAAATAAAAAGAATGATGTAATGTTTATTGCTTGACAAATTAATCTAATAGCGCAGAAATAAAATGATCATGTCTGTCTGACTGATTATATTTTACTTTGAAATGTGTTTGTTTTTTGTCTCTTAAGTATGATTTTTTATCAGAATTGATGGATTTGTGGAGATTTTGTTTAAATCACAAGATAATCTTAGCTGAATTATCACTGAAAACCTAAATGCGCTTAAATGATTGAAATTAGATATGTACACCATTGGATGCCTACTCAGTAGTTCAAAAGATAAATGTTCATGAACAAGACTAAAGGTCGTAGGTTTGACTCTCAGATCCTAGTTCCTGGGCACACACTGATGAGGAGTCCTGTACATGTACAAATTAGATGTTAAGTACTTCCCAGTTTTTAATAATGGGGTAACTGAGATCATTTCATGGTTTAAAGTGTGATTTTTTTTCTAGTTTAAAACGAAAAAGAGACAAATGATTTAACTGACTGTGATTCATTTAATTAATCTCAAGCCAAATGTTTAAATAATGACAATGTACTTAAATGCAGCCAGATTTGAAACTAGTACTGACCTTTAAAATGAAAAGTTATGATCTTAAAAGTTCTTCAGTATAATATGTAAGAAAACTGTTACCTACGTGGATCAACATTTCAACTAAAAAATGTCAAGGTGTTGAGTTAGCTGCGATATATGAGAATTTTAGGTTGGATACTGTGTACCTCTATGAGAGCTCATTTTTAATGGATTTAAAATTTACCACCAAATTCTCAGTAAATTTAGTTTTTCAGTTTGCGATAGAAAAGATTTGCTTTTAAAAATGTTTGTAAATACAGTGTACTTAAAGGATGAGGAAGCCCAAAAGAGATAAGCTATTTATTTGACGAAGATAATCTACTAGCCGATACTTGTATACCTTATCATAAAACATACATTTGCAAAACAAGAGCATTCTTGGCTTTCTTCTTCCACATAATTTGTGTTCGTTAAAACACCCAGATCCTTATACTCTTTGCTCTGGACGTAACTTCATGGAGACACTATGCTACACACTCACTGTATGCAACTTATAAGCTCCTCTGTAAATATTACAAACTACACAGTAGTTTATCATTACAATGGATCATTTAAGCTAAATTAACCAATTCATCTTTTAAAGTGATCTTTTCATAATGACGATATATATTTTCTTCAGTATCACAACCAAAGCTTCGTTGAATGCGATGTACTTTATACGAAGCATATATCTGATATATAGAATACCAGAGAACTTGTAACAAGGCTTTATTTGGAGTTAAAACTTGAAAAAACAATATTATATCTTAGCACTTCAGATTATTTTGATCAAGGATTTTGATTAACAACTATGGAATTCGAGGAAGATTAATTCAAATCCCAATTAATTACTTCGCCTATGTTTGAAAACTTGATAGACTGATTATAATTAGAGACATCTAACTGTGAATTAGAGGTTCATGTGCATTTAGTTATGCATTTGATCGTAAATCATGCAAGTAAACTGATCGACAGTAATTTGTTTATTTGTAGTAAATAATGACAACTATTTAATGTTCTTTAAGTTATTTTTATAACATTCTTCTACAGAACATTTAGTTTCCAATTACTTAATTCACATTGAAATCTGTAATGCTGTTTAATTTTTGAATGATCGTAGAGATGATTAAAAATCACAGATGAGTAAACAAGTATAAAAAAACTGAAAATGAAAATAGAGAATATTCATGTTTCATATCACATCATGTTTCTTTGCTACTTTTTCTCGTTTCCCTACATACTTCATTAAGATTTCCTTTCTCTTTGACAAAAACAAAAGTACAGAAAAAAAGGATAAAAGGCATTTCATAAATAATTGTGTTTTTACTCAAAATGAAATAAGCAACAAACACATAGATGTACAAATTTGTATCTTTTCATTTAATTTGCACGTAATATGGATAATTAGAAGCATAGAAGGATAAAACGCCTTGAGGAGAAATTGACATAAAAAAGATAGTGAATGAAAGTCAGAAATAAAATGTATAAAACATTTAGAGACAAGGATAACGAAAGAACGAGTCGCTAGTAATAAAAATGTGAACATTTACTAGAGTACACATAATATAATAATAATTTTATAACATCTCTATATTTGTCGCTAGTGATTTAAGTTCAAGCATATGAAAAAGTTAAACATCAACCATATACTCTTTATAATCTTCATTTGTACGTTGACGCTATTTATCTGGCGGTCACGTTATTCTGATAGTTACAAGAAAGTTTCGAATGATCCTCCTAAACTATTCAATTCATGTTTAATATAGTAGAAATAGAGAGAACTAATGAATATTACGTTTTTTAATCATAATTATTGTAATATTGTTTGATGGGCCTTTTAAGCTACATAGTATCGGTTTATTACAAATGATAGTTTATAAATTATATCACTCACCAAGCATTATTTCTTTATTGCAATCATATCTAGCTATACCAAATGCAGGTTGTCCACCAGGATCACAACGATCTACAGTGAATTCCCAATAATGTACACCTCTTGATAAACCAGTTGAACCAAGAATTACTCTATCCTCAGCTAGTTGACTAGTAACAGTTCGATTTCCGTTGGTAAGTAGAATTTCTGGTACTGAAGTATTAATATCCAAATGAAACCAGGTAACTAATAGGAGAGGAAGTAAATACAAAAACGAAATAGTTAGCTTGTTGTCACAAAACATAGTCTAAGCATTTTTTTATAAATTAAGTACAAAACTTATTTACAAGTACATAAAACTAATTTCAAATAGATCTGAAACCAAATATTTGTTGACAAGATCGCAGATAAATATCTTAATTGAATAATTGATGAATTTCTTCGAATTATATACTACTGGGGACTTCAGTTCACCTTGTAAACTAATATAACACTGTCTGATCCTTAGTATCGATTGGATTTCATCAGATAGAACACAAATTAACCGTTGGTCATAATGTAGTTTATTTGGTTTCAAATTGTAGTACCGTCATGTTGAGGGGTAGCTAGCGTACAACCATGTAGGACAGTTATCTACGGACTATCTCTGCATATATATATATATATATATATATATATATATATATATATATATATATATATATATATAATGTAGCCACATATACAGTCATCAGTTTATGAAACTGCTAACAAAATGTTTTTTTCATTCGGTTTAAATTTATTTAAATCATATTATTCACCATTAGGTTAAAAGTAAAATAAGAACCATGTGGAAAATTCCGATCATCTTAATCTTAATACTAAATAAAAACATTTGATAAATAATATTTATATTTTTAGCATTTTCTTTATTTTGTTCAGAATGATTAGTATTATTTTTAAACAAAACATATAAATTAATAATATCATGATAGATAATAACATCAAACAAACCTTTCATATTAAAAACTGAAAAATGTACATGACATTTTGTTATACTGATTCATCAGTATTTTTCACCTTTCTATTTTCTCTTTCGAAAAAGTTTCCATGGAACTATCTAGAAAGTGTCAAGATACGGTCTCCTATATTTTTTCTGTACGAATTCCCTTGGTGTTTATGTAAACAAAACATACTTGTCATAGATTTCTAGAAAGAAAGGTTATGGTCCTATTTTGACTTAACTCTCATGAACACATATTTTCAGTACTATGAATAAACAAGAAAACATATTTTTATAAAATAAAACTTTTCCAATTTTTAATGATGGTTTTACGTGAGAATAAAATTTATCCTATTCGTAGAAATCACAAAACATCATGTGGTGCTGCGGTGTCACTACAATCATGTATGAATGAAATAAGTGCCTGTTAACAGTCGATTTATATTCTTTACAAGAAAGACAAATTAGCAAAAACAATATGCTAATCGCAATGCAAGACATTATTCTCGCATCACTACTTATATGGATAACCATCTCATCATTTTGACTGCACTTTTTCGATTTATTGATATCAAAATATTCATTTATATTGGAAGTTTAGAAGACAATTTAAATTTTAGTTGAGTTTTACAAATAGCCAATGAAATAATTTACCTCATTTTATGTTCTGATGTTTTATGACGACAATAATATTGTTGAATCAGAAAAAATCATTCATTTTGGAATAATGAGCACATAATTTTTCTAAATTAATATCAAACTGGATGCGAGTGATGCAAAAAGACATACAGCTCGACAATCATTAGACATCGGTAGTAGGTTGAAGTTTATGCCTCAATATAATCAGTTCTACCAATTTTGCTTTTCATTGAATACCAACCAACTTTTGTACTGTATCTACGTGAGTTGTTCTCGTCTTCCCTACCTAAAGAAACATAGCTTAATTACAATTCGAATTGGTTTAGATTATCTCGTTGTTGATCCTTCAACTGAAATCTGATCAGTCTTTTTTGGTATATGAGCATCCTATGCGGATTGTCTCGATACAGCCATTCTGATGCAATTTTAAATAAAATGGATAGGATGTGGCTGAGAATGGAATCCAGGATGCGGGCTTCGTCCTATTTGAGACTCGTCAGATGGATAATCCAAACCATTTCGAATTGAATAAAATCTCATACCCGTTGCAAAAGTGAGGGGTCATTTGGACTTAGTAGCTAAGTGGAAAACACGATGGCATTTGAAGCGACTGGTGTCGAATTCGAGTCTTAAAATGAACGTCAAATCTGAAATTTAGGTATATCCAGCTGACTAGTCACAAATAGGACAAAACGCGCGTCCTGGATTCCTCTGCTAACCCCATTCTATCCATTCCATATATTTGAAGTTCGTTTTAATGATATAATAAGACTTCGTTTGTTTGATCTATTTACAAATATTTTTTATTATTCTTGGCACACAAGTTGTAGTTAGGATAATCTTGTTTAAATAAATTGAAATATCAAGCAACAAAGCAAGCAAACTACATCATTAATCATTAATGAGGTACAACTACACTCCTTAAATGATTGGACATCATTGAAAATATTCGTCGCACCACTGAAAAAACGAAATTTTCATTAATATATCATTCTGATGATAATTTTTGTCTCGGATATTTGTCAGCTGGGAAACTAGCTGAAAGTGACTTAATTCTAGATTGAAACTTTTCACTAGTCATCGCTTACTAAACTAAGAAAGAGTGAACTGAGAGTTTTTAGATCTGACAATAAGCTGACCGAGCTTGAGCCACTGATTTAGAATAAGAGCAGTTAATATTTTTAACTTCAATTTATGCATGCTTTATTGAGACTGCCATTCGCTATCACTGATAATAACTATCTTATTTGTGTTGTGGTTGAGTTCCATTGGTCATAACTTCTCATTAAAACTTTGATAATCCAGTAAACTTATGTGATTATTGCTTTGTTGTGTAAACTTTAAAAAATAATTCACTAATATTTACTGCAATTTAGAATCTGATTCTAGGATAATTTTATGTTATACTCAAGTGAATAGCTTTGATTTTTGTAAACACTTTAATAAAGCAATAATTATGTTATGAAATAAAATTATTTTCTGGTTCATATTATCATAGAATTTATTTCTTATATTTCTTCACCTCTTGTTTAATGTTATTATTGAGTTTATATTAGTTAAAGAATAGATATATTTATATGTATCTTGAGAAATGATGTTAACAATGCAAAAGAAGTACACATTTTTACAATGAAAAAAAGTAAATTCAAAATTAAACTTGAAATATTAAATGAATTAAGTTCAAAGAATTATAAAACAGCTTTCAATAATTCATTTAGATGAAACGATTTAAGTGCTTACGTCTGTCTGTATGAGGGATGTATAATGAAAAGAATTCAATTAGGATAGGAATTATATGTTCAAGTTTGAATAGATTGAAAAATTATCATTCTAATTTGATAGTATTTTCCTTTGAAAAAATATTTCTTAATGATGTTTACAAGTTGAGTAAATTCAAAGTTATAAAAAGAGTGGTTGTTTGAAGTAGGCTTCTTTTTATTACATCATTTTAAAATTGATCGATCGCTGTTTAGTGACCGATTTCATGTATGTTAGATACCTAGTCACATACTACCTAATGATTGATGAGCTGGAAAATTTATCTCATTACTACAGGAAGTTAGCCACTAAATGCATAACGCAATGGCAGCATCTCTGACTGTAAAAATGAGTAACATGGAATCGAATCCGCTTAGGAGCATCATTTACCCCTAGATTACGGGCATACCTTACTGCTAAGTGCCGAATAGCACAAAAGCACAAAAGATGTAGGGTATCCTGACACCATACAGAAGAACAGGCAGATCTCCAAAAATTTAAACATAACATCGATTTATGCTGTATTTATTTGGATTACTGGCGTACAGTCGTTTTCACCATGAATTGGAATTTCTTTAAAAGTATATATAGAAAATTTACTTTCTATAACTTGTCTTTAAGTAGAAATGATGTGACTTTAACATCAATAACTTCAGATGATGAAAAGTTTTAAGTCGCTGTCACTCTGTTATACCTAATTTATTATGTTTAGAAGTAGAATTTACATGTAAATTATTTAGTAAATTAGGTAATCTAAATTTTTTACTACGTAAATTTTAATAGTTTTTATGCTTGTTTCACTTTATTTGTTTAGAAACATAGCTATTTTAACAATATATGAACATTCTTATTGATTCAAATCATGAATCAATCATTAATAGATCACCACTAGAAACCTAGAAACACTACACTACCGTTTCATCCTGGTATCGGACTCATCAGCAGTGAGCATCGTAAACTCTTGCCGATCGTAGGACTCGAATCCGGGACCTCCGGTTTCGCGCGAACACTTTGCTTCTAGACATCCAAAAGTATTATTGTTCAACTTCAATCAATCTTATTTAAAATATTTCACATAAATTAGCTTCAGATAAGTTAAATGTAGAAAACAATAAAATATAGAAAAATTAAATAACTTTATTTTTCGAGAAATCTTTGAACAAAAGAAATGAGTGTATCCACTGGGGCAATTCCAGCCACCTCAGAAACATAAGACAATAAACGAACAGAATGGTAACTTTTTAAGGTAGTACACAGACAGTAAAGTTCTCGACTTTTAAAGTTTCTTGAAAATATGATCAACAAGTAAGAAAAACCTAATTTATAAGTTCAAAAAGAAACCGTTATTGGTCTATATCTGTTTCGATAATCAACATTTTATTTCATATGAAAATTCTTCAAATTCTTTTTCTCATTAAACTATTTCATCATATCAGTATTTCACTAGTTTTATACTTTCTTTAAATCACTAAAATATGCTTGTTTTAACTTATTCCTACTCATCGTCGGTAGGTGCCTGCTTTACCCAACCTGCGTTTTGTATGTTTTAGATTTTCTTATGCTTCTAAAACATATTTGAAATATTTATATTCATTCTTTCAAACTTATCTGAATTTTCGCGAAAATGGTCTTAAATATGTTTACATTAACTGTGAACGGGATTCGTTTCCGTATCCTAATTTTTTTAAACACTGTTTAGTAATTTCAAATTTTAAACATTACTGATTGTAAGTTATCGATGAGAATCTGATAAAATAAAATGAATTCATGTCATTCTATTGAACTAAATGTGATTACTATCTGTTAATACAGTTAATAAAGAAAACTGTATGAAATAATTTCTTAGTCATATTTCATTTGAACTATTTATTGAAATTAATTCAGAAATTATATTTATTATTCACTTACAATCTGATGTCTGTAGACAAATTCGTTCACTGTATTGACTTTCACCAGCTTGATTGTGTGCTTTAACACGAGCACGATAGATCGAACGAAAGTGTAAACCTTCAACGGTACACATTGTTTCTACTCCCCGGTAAACTTTCTGAATATATTTATTAACAAAGGAAATTGTGAAAAAATTTAAATATGGAAATCTTATATAAGAAACTACAGTAATTATATATGAATTTTGTAATCATATCATTTAACGGTTCGTTAACTCAAAAATGATTAACGAAAGTGGTTTATTCGAATTTAAAGTAATGAATTATTCAGCTAAATCCAATAACTACTGGTTAGTGATTTCAGGGATTTAAAAGCCTAAACATTGTTTCGAAGTATCCATATGATAAAAAGTTAGGGATAATTGGGGACATTTGGTACTTTGCTTTCTCAGATGGTTGCAAGTTGTAAAATATTTAGCTGACATCATCTACACACTATTCATTCACGTTTCATAATCCGACTGCGAAATATTTATTTATAAAGTTCAAAAGGGTTTCACTATTAAGAATAGAGCCGAACTGTGTCATTGTTTCAAAACCTAAGTTTTGAGGAGTTTTCTTGAAACGTTAATAATTTTATTTTTTGTTTCCAATCGCTTGTGAGATAATTCAGTTGTAGATTGAATATTCTATTCTGATTCAGAGGTTTTATAAAAATAGTGAAATTATTCATAAAACCGGGAAAAAGATTACTTTGTGTTTTTCAGTAAACAGTTAACTTTGCCTCTAGGCAAAAAATACATAATACATATATAAATGTGTGCATACTCCTAAAAATGCACAGTCACATATAAATAATCAAAACATTAAATACAAATTCAAGACATCAATAAATTAGCGAAATTAGATTTTTATCGTTACGATAATATAACCATTACTGTGATAAGTTAATAATCTTCGAAACTTACAATTTATTAAATAGCATGTTGATGTTATTAGATTTCAATTTACAATATATTTGCCTTTTTGAGAATATGTTTACGATCCAATTATGATTATTAAATTTAAGTATCAAGTTAGAAAATGTGTATATATACTCAAAAATAA